TGGGCTTTGAGGGGTAATTTTTTCCCTCTATTGTTTGGAAAATACACACAGAGAGAGAGAGAGAATAATATATGAAAAACCACTTCAATTGCGCCACCCACAAAAGGCCTGAAAATAGTTGTGTTATTATTATTATTATATTTGTGGCGAAAAAGAAATCCGCAGAGCTTTATTTTGCTACTCAAAGCGAAAGCTTTGAGCGTGATAAACTTTTAACACTGAACGCGAGCGCGTGAGGAAATTAATGAAAATAACGCATTATTTGAGGATATTGTTGTAAATTTCACCCTTCATTTGAGCCAGAAAGAATATATAATATTGAATGGCAAACAAATTTATTTGCCCCGAAACATTTTGCAGTGAAATTGCACGATGGATTTATATTTTATGCGCCCGCGAAGCCTCGCAAAAGAATGGCGAGAGAGCCGAAGCTCGGCAGAATGGCAAATATTTAACATTCAGATATAAACCATGCGACAATGTAAACAGTGATTTAATTAACTCATAAAATAAATCACTGCTATTTTAATGTCATTTTAATGGTAATCACCAGTCTCTATCCTTTTTGCAATGAATTATTCCAGACATTGTGGAAAAGTCCATTGTTGGCCGAGAGGATTTTTCGGCAGTTAAACTTTTGAATTTTTTTAAATATACATCTTTTATGATTATCAGCTCAACTCGTGACCTCAATCAACGCTTTTGGGGGCAAATTTACCATTGGCGCGTGGCCTTTTTTTTATTGTCAAACATTGTCGCATTATTACACACTTCCTCTGCTTGCATTGCGATGGTATTTAGAGGTTGTTAAACTCGCTTAACGAACGCTTAAGACTAAAATCCCACCCAATTAGTTGGTTTTTGGGCTTTTATTGCGAGCACACATCGCACATGTGCGCCAACAAAAGAGGGATAAATTGATTGGTTTCATCGTCAATTTCCGGGGTGGCAAAAAGACACACCAAATGCCGAGGCATAAGAACATCATTGTCCTATTTGCCAGCCCGCGAGGCTCACATAATTGTCCAATAAATCGCTCAATTGATGCACTAATTGAATTGAATTAATCATTTATGGCGCACTGAATAGAAGAGAAGATGTCGTAAATGTGGAAGAAGTGCAAATTGAGGTTACTTTCAACGTCTTTAAACCCCTCAAATACTCAACTATTGAAGCAGAATCGCAAATATCCTTCAATATCCAACTTATCACTTCAAGGTGCGGTGAATTGAGAATGTCCATTAAAGGTGATTTGCGACGTACACACAACTTCTATCTCATTGCGTGTGTTATGCTGAATTTATGAATATCAATAGACCACCGATTTCACCCCTCCACAGCTGCCCATCCCCAGGCATTATTATCATATTTCGGTCCAAAAGCATCACACACAACATTGAAACAGAGCGACGGCAAATTGAATTTAAATTTATCATCGTGTTAAGTGGATTGTTGAAAATTGTAATGCCTTCTCTTATCAATCTCCAGCCTTGTTTTTCCTTCGCCTTTGCGCACACCAAAAGCCACACACTTAATCTTTTCGCTTGAAGGGAGCTTCAAGTAATCCGGATGTTTTGATTTTTTACCACGAGTGGCGGCTGAATTGCAAATAAACCGTTGCTTATCGACACTTGAGAGAATCGCGTATTTTGCCGCCTCTGGCCGACAAAGGGGTGATTATTCAGCGAAAATCTGTACACCACAAGATTCTCTTAAGTTTTATCTTGAGTTTTTGAGCATCATTTTTCAATCTAACCTAAAAATTACATCAAGAGATTTGAATATTTCCGTTCAGAACTATTCTAGGATAAATTTGGAGATTTTATTCTGCTATAATTTTTCTAATGAGCTCTAAAATACTGATTTCAAATTAAAAATCGATTAGAAAGTTTCTTAAAACTCTACTTTTGAGTTTATGCTCAATGTTAGCACAATTGACGATCGAAAATTTAAATGTAATTCGCATAAAAATGCTCCATTATGCAAAATAAGTATAAGAATTGATGCATTTTAACGCTAAAACTCTTATTAAATCTGTCTTAAATATTCACATAACCTAGAAAAGCGTCAGATTGATTTATTCTTAGCAAAGAGCAAATGAATTGTACACCACTTCTGACCACAATTTCTCCCCCTTTCCTTGCCAATAATTATGGAGTGATAAGGAGACTTTGTCAATGAAAACGTCTCAAGAGATAGAGATAAATTTCTCCAGTGCACTTCTCGGGACGGTTTATAGAAGGGAAAAATATGGTCAAGACGAGTGGAAATGTCTTGTCGCACTTGAGGAAGAAGAAGTTCCCCACTTGGCGAGTTCGCTTGTCCAATATTTAGTGGCTCAATTCAACCAACATGCCAGACATTGGCGAGTGGGCATCATAGTAAATATTTATTGGGAATCATTTGAACTTGAATTGTGTGTGTCTCAGCAGGAATTATCACCGCACCAGAGAAATGTTCTCATGTCTCTCAGCATCCATGTGGAATTATTTATAATCGCCACGGCGAAATGTGGGTGGCTTCCTGGGATGGTAATTTTGCATTTTACGATCCTCCAGAAATTCTACAATTGCTCTCAAGCGCGCGCTGACTTAAATAAAATAATCGCCGTGGCGAAGATCAATTTTCCTCCTCGAAGAATTGGATGTTATAGTTTTGACTCGGAGGCACGAATTGAGCAAACTCAATTGGTCAGTGTTTTGTATTTCTGACTAAGAATGTCTGAAAATTGATTTTCATTTCACATTCGCGAAAAGTTAGAATTGAGCTGGAATTTTGATTGTGCAACATTGTAATAATCAATGGAATTTGCTCAGAAATTCACTTGAACAGCACAATTGCTGACTTCTGAGAGCTTTCTGGCCAGATTATTCAGGTTATCAGTCTTGTATGACTTAATTCTTATCTTATTTTCAAGTCATTGACTTCTTCTTTCATCTTTAGCGCAGTGAAACAAATATTTTGGGCGGGGCTTGAGAGTGGGCGTGGCTTTCCGCTTCTTCGCTTCTTTTCACTCTTGCACTAATTGTATTGACAAATTACGACTAAAGAGCTTCAAATACGTTGAATTTTCAGGCATAAATTCAAAATAATCAATTTAATGCTCGGTTTTGTGAGAAACCAAAGAAGCTTCCAAAGTGGCCGAAAAGTTGTAACCTCCAAAGCGTATTATTTCAGCAAAATAAGCCTCCCTTTAGAGCCCTTGCGATGTGGAAGCTTATAAAATTGCATTTGCGGCAATATTTATTGTTGGGCGAGGAAGAGAGAGAGAGAAGGAATTAACCGACAAAATTCCTGGTCAAACTTACCCAGGGTAATCGCTTCTGGCCACTGCAACAAGCTCGGCTGCGCACGGGCGGGAAGGCGGGAGCCGATCCTGATGGTGGATGGAAAAGTTTGCTCCATTACACATTCTCCAGTGTTCTCTCTCTCTCTCTGTGTGTGCTGAAAATCCTCCTCGCCTTTTGGGGGAGTTGGGGATTCGGGGGCTTCCTGAGACTGTGTCTTTGGGTGTGCGGGAGGGTGGTTAAACTTCCTATGAAGAACAATAAAATTATCATAACAATTTATCTCTGTTACCGTCATCAAAGTAACTATACAACAGCCAAAGCGACCTGTTAAGCAAGACTTCAGTGTGTATTTTAGAAGGTGCACCGCACAAAACATCGTATCTTGCCGGAAATTTATGGAGCTTCAGCTTATACCTTTGGCCGCCCGCCCTTCCCCCCAGCGCCGCCGCCATCCACAAGATGATGCGGTCTGCAGAAGGCGCTGCCGGGGTGGAAAGAAACAAGAGAGATGATTCAGTGAAAGAAGAGAGAAGCATTAGAGATATTGGGAAGAGCGCAAAGTTTCGCCTTTTTGTCACAGACAAAATGTCGATAAATCGTCTCCGTCGCGCGGCTCCCAAACAGGTGGATAAACGACAAGGCAGCGCGAGAGTTTTGCAGGACACTTCCTTCACTCTTTGCCGGCTGTGCGCGCCAACAGACGGCAAATAATTGCACAGAATTGGACGTGACGTCAAAATTGCACTGGAAAAAGAGGAGGAAGAATTTATGATACTCTTTAAAGATGAAGAGTGTCTTGAGCAAAATACTGTGGCTGCCAATTTAATAAGGCACCTGTCTTCGTGGTTTTTGGACAAAAGTGTTCAAAAACTTGCAATATAATCAATCATAAAATTTTTTCTAGGTTATGTCACGAATCAGGGACAAATTTACTGAATTATTCGCATTTTAGCACATCAATTCTTGTGCTCAAGCCGAGAACATTAATATTCTGAGCATTTAATGTCAAGAAACACTGAAAATTGTGTTAAGGTCGAACATAACCTCAAAAATATTGTTTTAAATTTGGAAAATGTTCATTTGGAAAACACTTTCGCACGATTTTGACTCTGAATCTGCAATTTTGAGTTCATTGGCAAATCATAAGGATTGATTTTCTGATCTAGAAAGCTTTCAAACCAAGTTTTTGAAGATATTTTGAGGTTATGGTCGGAAAATACGTCCAAAAATACGATTTTAAGTGGATTTTTGTAGAAATATCGGTTGTAAACTTAAGAGATTCATTATAATTTGGGAAATAATGTGGAATTCTAGAAGTTTTAGGCAAATTTGGAAGTTTTTGACTTGTTAAAGCTTTTCAAACATCAAAATCAAAGCACTGAAGCAAAAGAAACCCAATTAAAGTCAAGGAAAAGGCTTCCATCCAGAGAATCTTTGTGAATTGTGTGTTTATCACACATTATTAACCATTTGAACACATTTGATGCTGACAATCGACGCAATGTGACGCACCAATTAAATGCAATTTGATGATGTTCGAACGCATTACGTGAAATTTGGCCACAAATTGATTGGCAAATGAATTTGAATGGCGCTTCATTGACCGCGAATTTCATTTGATATTCACCCCAATATCGCCACTCTTCTCTCCTCCGTCTGGTTTATGGATTAATTGACTCATGATTGCCACTTTCTCTCTCTCTCTTGCAGAAAATGCGCCAATTCCAGAAGACTCTGGAGGATTTGAGCTCGCGCGTGGCCTCGGCGGAGACATTGACGTCTTCCTGGACGCCGCCGCCGACGGCGTCCGAGGCGGCGGATCAGATGCAGCATCTGCAGCGGCTCAGGGACAAGATGACGACAGCCGGCGCTCTGCTGGACGACTGCAATGAGCAACAAGGGTGAGTTGGAATTTTGCAGAAGTCTTTCAAGACTCAATCTCACTTTGCCGCTCTCGCGTGCAGATTCTTCACCGCCAATCACGTGCTGGTGCCGAATCCGTGCCTGGCGAAGCTGGAGGACCTGAACACGCGCATGAAGCTGCTGCAGATCGCCATGGATGAGCGCCAGAAGGTGCTCGTGAGCGCCGGAGCGAGTCAGATGGGAGTGGATTTGGATGGATCGCGTCACTCGCAGATCAACAGCGGCACTATTGGTCCCCTGCCCAATCTGGGCGCCAGCGTCAAGGCGCCCTGGGAGCGCGCAACGACGCCCGCCAATGTGCCTTACTACATAGAGTGAGTCTCGCGCGCCCAGAGAATGCCTTTCCCGGCAGAAAAGTCTCACTTTGTCACACTTGTCGTTTCAGCCACGAACGGGAAACCACTCATTGGGACCATCCGGAGATGATTGAACTGATGAAGTCGCTGGCTGAACTCAATGACGTCCGCTTCTCGGCTTATCGCACTGCGCTCAAGCTGAGAGCCGTCCAGAAGCGTCTCGGTGAGTCTTGTTTTGTCCTCTTTCTGGGTTGAGAGCAGCAATTGTGGAAGTGTTCTCGAGTGGGTGCAAATCTGCAGTCAATTGCACACATGATAGAGACTGAAGTGGATGAATTTTGAGCTCTTCTCAACCTGTTGCCAATGAAAATCCACTAAATAGGCGGAGCTTGTGAGTGGGCGTGGCTTAGAAACCTTCACACAAAGACATTCTATTGATTTTTACTCAATTTCTGCCCTTCTTTCGCACCCTCTGAAGCTTTGGATCGCATCCCAATGTCCCTCGCCATTGAGTCCTTCGATCGCCACGGCCTCCGGGCGCAGAATGACAAACTGATAGACATTCCGGACATGACGACAGTGCTGCACTCGCTCTTCGTGACGGTGGATCAGATTGATTTGCCGCTGATGCTTGACTTGGCCATCAACTGGATCCTCAATGTGTACGATTCCCAGCGCACTGGGCAGATTCGCGTGCTGAGCTTCAAGGTGGGCCTGATTCTGCTGTGCAAGGGTCATCTGGAGGAGAAGTACCGCTATCTGTTCCGCCTCATTGCCGATCCGGAGCGCAAGGTGGACCAGCGCAAGCTGGGCTTGCTGCTGCACGATTGCATCCAGGTGCCGCGGCAGCTGGGCGAAGTGGCGGCGTTCGGCGGCAGCAACATCGAGCCGTCGGTGAGATCGTGCCTGGAGCGCGCGGGAATCGCCCAGAACGGCGCCGGCGAGTCTCAGGTGAGTCTCAGTGAGAAAGAAAGCAGGCGAGAGAGTCAATAACCGATGATTGTGGTTGGCAGGAGATCGTGATTGAGGCGCAGCACTTCCTGGGCTGGCTGCAGCACGAGCCGCAGAGTCTGGTGTGGCTGCCGGTGCTGCACCGGCTGGCGGCGGCGGAGGGCGCCAAGCACCAGGCGAAGTGCAACATCTGCAAGGAATATCCGATCGTGGGCTTCCGCTATCGCTGCCTCAAGTGCTTCAACTTCGACATGTGCCAGAAGTGCTTCTTCCTGGGCAAGAGCGCCAAGAACCACAAGCTCAGCCACCCGATGCAGGAGTACTGCACCACCACCACGTCCACCGAGGACGTGCGCGACTTCACGCGCGCGCTGCGCAATAAGTTCAAGAGCCGCAAGTACTTCAAGAAGCACCCGCGCGTCGGCTATCTGCCCGTGCAGAGTGTCCTGGAGGGCGACGCGCTGGAGAGCCCGGCGCCCAGTCCGCAGCACACCAGCCACACGCTGCAGAGCGACATGCACTCGCGCCTGGAGATGTACGCGTCGCGGCTGGCGCAGGTGGAGTTCGGCACGCGCAGCAACTCCACGCCGGACAGCGATGACGAGCACCAGCTGATCGCGCAGTACTGCCAGTCGCTGCCGGCCAACGGGCCCAAGTCGCCGGTGCAGGTGATGGCGGCGATGGACGCCGAGCAGCGCGAGGAGCTGGAGGCGATGATCCGCGACCTGGAGGAGGAGAACGCGTCGCTGCAGGCGGAGTACGACCGGCTGCGCTCCAAGCAGACGCCGTCCACCACGCCCGACGACGGCCAGACGGGCGCCGGCCACGGCCAGGACATGATGGCCGAGGCGAAGCTGCTGCGCCAGCACAAGGGACGCCTCGAGGCGCGCATGCAGATCCTGGAGGACCACAACAGGCAGCTCGAGGCGCAGCTGCAGCGACTCAGGCAACTGCTAGACGAAGTGAGTTGACTTTCTTCCTTATCCGCCGAAGGATTTACCAGGAAAACCCCTTGAATTCGATAAGAAATTAGAGTAAAGTGAAATCAAGACTGACCAAAAGCTATTTCTCAATATTAAGAACTAAAAATTCACGCCGAAAACTCGGATTTTTGATCAATTCTTCAATAATTACGTTTCTTTTCTTAGCAATCATGGTTCAATCTTCATTTGTGGCGCTGAAAAGAATAGATTTTCAAACAAAAAAGTACTTTAATTTATCCATAAAGAAATCTTAATGTGAGATTTAAAAGAAAGGCAGTAAAAACTCTGACAAATTGTCACTAATTTCTTCATTTATTGGTGCAATTTGATGAAGTAAAAGAAAAGCGTCAATTTAAGATAATTTGCACATCTTATTTTATTAGAATCTGACAATTTAAGTAAGTTTTCTTCAATGCTTAACATTTTCCAGAAGATAAACTAATAAACTGGAAGAATAATTGAGGAATTTTAATGAAAATAGTTAAATTATTTTGTATTTAACCGAAAATTAGTGTGATTTTCCACTTCTTTCTTATCACTTTAAAGATATTCGACTCTTATCGATTCGAATTGTTTGAAATTCCCACTTTTTAGTCCAATTTGAGGACTAATTAGTCCTATTTTTCCCCTAAATTTGTGTTAAAAAGTGGAAATTGAACACAAAATTCAGCATTAAAGTTACAATCGATTGTCTGGCATTTCTTGACGCTTTTCGCTCTGTTTTGCAGCCAAATGTCTCCAAGGCTTCCACGCTGCAGACCAGATCGGTCACGGCTTCGCAGCTGAACACCGAGTCTCCCGCCAAGATGCAGCAGAACGGCCATTATGAGCAGAATTCGAGTGAGTTTCCTTAAGCTAAAAAAAACCCTCAAAAAGAGCTTTTTTCACACAGCATAATTTCACACGGCAAAAGCGCTTCTCGCCAGATCGATAAATCCTCCCAATCTAATTGCCATCGGCAATTGTCTTGGGAGTTTTGGGACGAATGAATGGCAATAAATCAATGTGGCGAGAAGTGCGACGCGACGTAAATCACGACGACTCACGGTGACGGGTTTCTGTCTCTCACGCACGCTCTCATTCAGACACTAACGCGATGAACGGCGGCGCTGCGCTCTCCGCCGGCGCGATGATGGGCGGCGGCTTGATGGGCGCCAACGGCGCAGCCAGCGCGGCGGCGCCACACAACGGCGACGGCCGCCCTCCGCCGCCGCCGCACTCCAGCCTCCTTCACATGGCCGGTAATTGACTCTCCGCCCCGCTTTCCCGCGCTTTCCCGCGCCTTCCCGCTAACCAATCGCGCCCAGTCCGCAACTAATCCCGCCGCTTCTCTCTCTCTCTCTCTCGCTCTCGCTGACGCCGCTCTCCGCCGCGCCAGGACGAATGTAATTCCGCTGAGCGCTTTTCCGAGCAGGAGAAGAGGAAGAAAGACGTTTGATTGTGGATTAATCTTTGATCTAAAAGGTGATTCTTTAGAGCTTGCTTTTCCCATTAACAACCATTCTTCATGTGTGCAACAGAATGTTTTCTTTGCTTCTTCTTTTTTTTCTTTTGTGGATTTTCGCTGGTGTGAAAATTGCCGGAAATCCCATGAATTTCTGTGATTTTTCCAACTTCAAAGCATCCAAAAATGGATAATTGATTAAGAATGACTTCATAAATTCCCTTAAGAAGTTCATTTTAAGGGAAATTAAGTCGTTTTTTGTACTCTTTTTGGCTTCAGAGTTGGATTTTGAGAGTTTTAACTTGAGCTGGAAATAAATTTTCTCTGCAAAAATACGGAAATTACGGATTATTTGTGATTATTACTCAAATTTTGATTATTTCTTGATAATTTTTTGAATATTGGATTAAAAATTGATTATTTGACAAAAAAATTCTGATTTTTTTTATTATAATCAAAAAATAATCAAAATTTGAATAAAAATCATAACTTATTATTTTTGATTTTTACAAATTTTGATCATTTCATACAAAATTTGGATTATTTTCTGATTATTTTCTGAATATTTTTTCAAAATTTTGCATATAATTGTGAATATTCTGATTGATTGATTGAAAAAAAAAATCTTTTTTGAATATTTTTCTATTTTACTTTTAAAAATATTTTTTCTCTTATTATTGATTTTCTTCAAAATTTGATTATTTTGCAATTATAATTTGGAAAACAATAATTTTTTGATTATTCTATTTAAAATATGATAATTTTTCAAAATTTACTTAAGAAAATATTCTTTTTTTTTAATTATTTAATTCAATATTTGGTTATATTAATTTTTTGTAATTTTATTTGAGAAAATATTCCTTTTTTAAAAATTATTTTATTCAAAATTTAATTATTTTTCAATTTTACTTGAGAAAATAATCATTTTTTGATTATTTTCCCAAAAAAGTTCCCTCAAAAATCGCCTTGTGATTTGCCCCTTGGAAATTTCAAGGATTTTTTTTTGCTAATTTTTCACTTGGAGATCAAGAAAGATGATTTTGAGGAAAAAGCATCAATTTTTGTATTAAGAAATTGATGAATGATTAAGAATAACAGCAAAACAACGCTTAAAGAATTCGCTTTTTCTACTTTTTGCATTAGTTTTATCACAAAAGAATGTGAAATTTGATTAGAATGCAATCAATTAAAGTGTATTTCTAGTAATTCTTTCGAAATACTTGGAAGAAATGAAGAAATTGGATTGAAGGCAATTTTTCACACTGTTTTCCTGCTTGTTTTCCCTTCACAAAACAACAGCAGAAGAAACCCAATTGAATAAATAACTCTCGTTTCTGCCTTTTCATCTCTGTCTCCAGACGATTTGGGTAAAGTTGTGCAGGAACTCGTGACGGTGATCACGGAGCAGGAGATTGAGGAACATCGAGAGAAGGACTCGTAGGAAAGCCGCATTTCACGCCTCTGTAAATAAAGGACTTTTTTTTCCTCACACAAAGTGACTCCAAAGCATTTGAAGCTGCGCAATATTTAACAGTGATTTTTTTTTTACAATTTAAACACACACACGCAAATTGATGCGGAAATTTGCATGATTTTAACTTTGCTGAGAAAGGAGAAGAATTTTGTGGGAAAAGAGGCGGAAATTGTGGGTGGAAAAGAAAAAAAAAAAAATATAAATGGACCCAAAACATAGGAACATATGCAGTATAATAGTCTCTAACTTATAATAAAGAAAAAAAATTTATACAAGAAGAATACTTCTAAATAACACATTTCTAATGTTTAGGATTTATTCCGCTGACGGGAAAAGGGAGGAAAAGAAAAAAAAGGAAACTTATCATGCAATCTTTATATCAACTAGACGAGCGACATTTCAATAACAATTAATCTCCATTTCAAAAATGAAAAAAAAACTTTGCTACTCCGCGCATTAAAAGTGAAAAAAAACAAACATATCCTAAAGCAAAAACTAAAAACACATTAAACAACGTATCATCAAGTCTTTTTAGGGCAGAAAAATAAACGAAAATTACGAATTTAAAAGTTATATCGAAAAAGAGAAGAAAAAAAAAATAGAAATAAATACATTTTCAGAAAGAAAAATCTATGGAGAAAATTCTTAACTCGCTTAGAAGAACTGTAAAACAATAAAGTAACCAAAAAAAAGAAGAACTTTACTTGTAATATTTAACAATGTTTTTTTTTTAATTTTCCAAACATCATAGATTGTAAAACTTTTTCATCAAGTGAAGAAGAAGGAGAAGAAAAAATCCATTTTAAAGATGAATTATAAAAACGTAGAATCAACATATCGAGTTGAAGGAAAAAGCCACAAAGATAAATCATATACATTCTGAGCTGAATATTTGAGTGAAAGCAAAAATAAAAAGAAAAAAACTGCAGAGAATTAAGTGTGTGGAAAAAGGAAAGGGAAAATAACCTTAACAAACTTATACGACTTAATGGAAAAACGCTTAGTGAACATATTTCGTTGCAAGATTGACAGAAAGAGAATTACTTGTTGAAGAGTTAGGAAATAACATGTGACGATAAACATTAATCAGTCCACTAGAAAAGGACGCAGTTTTACGTGAAAAAAAGAAAGAAAAAAAAGGTAGCGGATGGAGAGATTTAACTTAGGTGCATGAAACTTATCACTGTATTATTATTAACTAGTTCTTTAATAAAAACATTGAACAAGGAAAACACGTAAGCGTAAGTTTTTATGGCATAAAATTATTATGATGAGAAAACATTAATAAAAATCATTTCAAAATAATTCCCTTCAGTCTTTTTATTCAATGATATTTTCAATTAATAAACAGAAATGCAACACAGAGACAATTTTGCCAAATAATTGCAAAGAATCCTTCAAATCTTCTTCGTGAAGTCGAATGATTTTGAGAATGAATCCTCGGAAATGATGTCATCCAACAAATCAAACTCCTTCACCGCCGGCGGCATTTCTTGCTTCATGAAGACAATCTTCTCCTCGCCAATGTTCATCTTGTACTGCGCCGCATTTGTGGGCATTTTCACCTGGAATTCACCGTGCTTCTGCTCCTCAATCACCGCCACAATCGGAATGTTGCACAGCGACTTCAGATCCTCCTTCGTGGCGTCGCGAATGATGCTCTTCTGGCCGAAATCGAAGATGCGCACGAGAAGCAAGACGCTAGATTGACGCTTCTGCAGCAGTCCAAAAGGCACTTCATTCTTCGCCTTCGCCGTCTTCATGGCCAGCGTGTCCACGAGCGGAATCACGGTTGTCTTCTCGCGTGGAAACAACTTGGAGATCTTCGCAGATTCCATCTTGGCAGCGTTGGAGGATCTGAAGGGAAATCGATTGAATCTCAGCAAGCAAAACTTCTAAATTTCAAGGACTTTTCCGTGAGAATCTTGCCAGAATTTATCAATGAAACTACTTGCTTTTAATCAATAAATTAGTATTTTTCAGTCAATTCAAACCATTCCTAGCCAAAAACAGTGCTTTAAAGTCAATTTGAAGAGTTTTATTGTGGTAATTTGGAGAGAAAAACCAATGATAATGAGTAACTCAAGTGAGAAAGAAGAGATCCTTCTGCTGCAAACGGTGTTCAGGAGCAGCAGGAAGAAGAGAACAAGGCAAAAACAGCGAAAAATGCTGATTTAGTGATAGATCCGATCGTTCTAGCGTAATAATCTTGTCTCTTTTGCTCAATTAAGAGAGGTTTTTTGCTCTTCAGTTTTAATCCTAGTAAACGTTGTGGGAAAACTCCCTTAAGATCAGCATAAAAAGCGACTCAGACTGAGCAAAAATAGAATTCAAAATCTGCTTAGTAAAATCTATCAAGAAATCAAGAATCTCTGCTGAAATCAAGGAAGCCACGCAAACAAAACTCTCTCACCTCTTCGCTGTCGAGGACTTCTCGTCGTCCTTGTGCTGCTCCAGCGTGTGCGCCTTCAGCAGGCTCTTCTTGGCGAAGCGCAGCGCGCAGATCTTGCACTGGAAGGTGATGCCGGCCTCCTGGGCGTGCATCTTGGTCCGGTGGCACGCCAGATTGGACATCTGGTTGAAGCCCTTGTCGCAGAAGGCGCACTTGTAGGGGCGCGCGTTCGTGTGCATGTACACGTGATTGCGCAGATTGCCCTTCTGGTGGAAGGCGCGCGGGCAGAGCGGACACTTGAACGCCTTGTCGTCCGAGTGCGTCTTCCGGTGGCTGATCAGCGTGGACATGCGATTGAAGCTCTTGCAGCACAGCTCGCACGCGAACGGCCTGTCGTGCGTGTGCACGGCCTTGTGCTGCTGCAGTGTGGACGCCTGGCGGAAGATCTTGCTGCACACGTCACACTGGAAGCCCCTGGCGTCCCTATGCACGGCAAAGTGGCGGAACAGGGCGTACTGGAAGCCGAACTCCTTGCCACACACGCCACACACCCAGATCTGCGTCTCCACGCCCTTCAGCTGCACGCGCTTGATGCTGAACTTCAGCGGCGTCTCGTCCTTCACGCCCTCGTCCAGCGTCACACTCTCCGGCATCGACTTCACCTCCACGGCCGCTTGGGAGAGCAACAGATCCTGGCCCTGGACAACACTTGCCATCTCTCTCACCTGGAAAACTCTCGCTGAAAAGTCGTGCTTTTGTTTCCGTTGCACCGCCAACTTTGCCCGCGCTCGCGGGTTGCCCGATTGGAAAGAGCGCGCATTTAAATTAAACTGCCTGTTTTACTCCAAAAATAAACTCAATAAAAACAGTGATAAGTGTGATATTTTATCAGGGAATCCGCGTGCTTATCACTCCCCGTCGGCACTGGTGCTCTGCTCTAGTGAAATGCATAGAGGATCAGGAGGAAGGTGCACACGGCGATGACGCCGCCCACAATCAGGGAATCTCGTCGCTTCTTCATGTTTATGCGCTGAATCAAGCTGAAAAACACCCTCAAATTAGTCCCTGAGACAGAAGATTGGGCGATCAGGGTCAGAAGTACCTGGATATCATTGGGAAGCGATTGGAGATGTCATTGAAGCGCGTCTGCATGCGCTTCAAGTATTGCCTCTGCGACGTGAGGTGTTCTTTCGTCTCCATCGCGATGCTTATCTGGTCATTGATGAGACTGTGCGAGGAGCTGAGGTGGGAGCTCTCTTTGAGATACATATCCCGCCGGCTGAGCCCGCCGCTGGTCAGGGAAGACGAGTTTCCAATGCCAGAACCTCTCAGCAGTTCCTCACGTTCGATTCTCGTGGTGTGATTCGCCCGGATCTTGCTGAACTCCTGCCGGTAGCCCTGCAAGACACCACCGGGAAGTTAATAGTCTGCCCAGGAAGCCCAGAAAGTCCAGGACTCACGTTTAAGATCTCTCTGTGTCTCTGCAGAGTGTGAATCATCATGGAAGTGCCGCTCGATGGAAGCTCTGCCATCTTATCATTGATGTTTGATAACTGAAAGAGCCCAAAAGCACCACAATTAGCCAGGAAACACCCTCCGGAAGGTCCAGAACAGAGAGATTTCACTTACTTTCTCCAGCATTTGCTCAATTTCCACTGACAAATTGTCAAAGATATGTTCTCCAAGGAGCGGCGCCGAATCGGGACTGGAGGATGTGCTGCCGCCGGAGCCCACCTTGCTGAAAGCCACCAGTTTCAGGTCGATGTCATTCTCCAGACGTCTGGCCAGCTTCCTCAAGTCTGCGGAAAGATTGTTGAATTTGATGACATCACAGACATTTCACCACCCATGATTTGCATGAATTTCCTGCCAAGATTCACAGCGGAAAGTCACAACTCACCATCCCAGTCGGAAGAGGACATCCCGATGAGGCTCTCCGCGAGAATTCTTCCTGGCAATTGATGGAAAAACACCCGAAATTCGGGAAATAAAAACAGTCTCAAGAAAACAATACTTTGACAAAGTCAAAACACTCAGCTGTCATTCAACCACTCACGCAGTTTCGCTACTTTTGGCAGTACGCGAGAGGAGTTGGTGAGTCACTCAACCGGGTGCAGCACATTTGTCTGGAACATTCTTCAGCACGCTCTTGTTTTCTCGCTTTCCTCGTGATTTTGTGGTGTTTTCCCTGAAGAAATGGCTGCGATTAGCTTGCTGAATCCCAAGGCAGAGTTCGCCCGTGCCGCCCAGGCGCTGGGCATCAACATCTCGGCGGCAAAGGGTCTGCAAGAGGTGATGAAGCCCAATTTGGGCCCCCGAGGAACCCTCAAAATGTGAGTATAGCCGGCAGATGGTCGGTTTTCTCTCAGTTTCCGGGGGTTTTCCCTAACTTGAGAGCCAGAGAGTGTCAGAGAAGCCTTCCGGGAGGGTTGAAGTGCGGTCTAGGAGGTGTTTTGGGTGCCGAAAGACCAGAAAATTGACGAAATTCAATGGTTGGTTGGTTTTGTAGGTTAGTTTCCGGCGCTGGAGACATCAAGATCACCAAGGACGGCAACGTCCTGCTGCACGAGATGCAGATCCAGCATCCCACGGCGTCGCTGATCGCGCGCGCCAGCACCGCGCAGGACGACATGACGGGCGACGGCACGACTTCCACGGTGCTGCTGATCGGGGAGCTGCTGAAGCAGGCGGAGATCTACGTGGCCGAGGGCCTGCATCCGCGCCTCATCACGGAGGGCTTCGAGAAGGCGCGCGACCGCACGCTCGAGGTGCTGGACGGGATGAAGGTGGCGGCGACGATCGACCGCAAGGGCTTGACGGACGTGGCGCGGACGTCGCTGGCGACGAAGGTGCGCGCGGATCTGGCTGAGGTGCTGACGGACGTGTGCGTGGGCGCTGTGCTGGCCATCAAGGGCGCCGACGACAAGCCCGTGGATCTGCACATGGTGGAGTTGATGGAGATGCAGCACAAGACGGCCACGGACACGCAGCTGATTGAAGGTCTCGTGCTGGATCACGGCGCGCGGCATCCGGACATGCCGAAGCGCCTGGAGAACGCCTACATCCTCACGTGCAATGTGTCGCTGGAGTACGAGAAGTCCGAGGTGAATTCGGGCTTCTTCTACAAAACCGCCAGCGATCGGGAGAAGTTCGTCCAAGCGGAGCGCGAGTTCATCGAGTTGCGCTGCAAGAAGATCATCGAGCTGAAGAAGAAGCTCTGCGACGGCACGGACAAGACGTTCGTGGTGATCAACCAGAAGGGCATCGACCCCATGTCGCTGGACATGCTGGCCAAGGAGGGCATTCTGGCGCTGCGACGCGCCAAGAGGCGCAACATGGAGCGTCTGGCGCTGGCGTGCGGCGGAAGCGCCATGAATTCCGTCGAGGATCTGCAGGAGTCGCATCTGGGCTACGCCGGGCTGGTGTACGAGCACGTGCTGGGCGAGGACAAGTACACATTCGTGGAGAAGTGCCGCAATCCGCAGTCCGTGACGATTCTGATGAAGGCGCCCAACAAGTACACGCTCACGCAGATCAAGGATGCCGTGCGTGACGGCCTGCGCGCCATCAACAACGCCGTGGACGACAAGTGTCTCATCCCGGGCGCCGGAGCCTTCGAGATTCGCGCCTACAACGAGCTGATGAAGTTCAAAGACACCGTCAAGGGCAAATCCCGCCTCGGCGTTCAGGCGTTCGCCGAGGCGCTGCTCGTGATCCCGAAGACGCTGGCGCTGAACTCGGGCTACGACGCCCAGGACACGATCGTGAAGCTGCAGGAGGAGGACAGACTCAGTCCGGATCCCGTGGGCTTCGACATCTACAGCGGCGAACCGATGAAGCCCGTGGACTTGGGCGTGTACGACAATTACGTGGTGAAGCGCCAGATCGTGCGCTCGTGCTCCGTGATCGCCAGCAATCTGCTGCTCGTGGACGAGATCATGAGGGCCGGAATGACGAGCCTCAAGGGCTAGAGGCGATTCGCCCCCTCATCATCCGCATCTCAGAGTATTTTCCTACTTTCTCGCATCTCACGCGCGCCCAGTTTGAATAAAAAGCCAAGGGGAAGATAATTGCCTGAAATCTGTACGTTTTCTGTGGGCAAAAAAAATATTCAACTCTTCACACACTTCTCACAACGAAAAATGTCTTTTTCAATACTCTTTAAACTCCTAAAACAATCATGGTTTAATCTGGGTTTTGTCGGCTCAAGATGAGGTTTAAGCTCAGGTCGAAGTTCCTCAAATCTCGGATGACCAGATTTCTGTCTTGATATCTAACTAATATTCTTAACAAATTGTGAGGTTAAGAATCTCTAGGAATCCGAGAAGGATCATTTTGAGTCAAGTTTTAATCCTTTCAAACCTACAATTAGTAACACAACCTTCTAATTTTCACTTTAACGTATGAAAGAAAGAAAATAACTCGATAAAGAACATTTTTCTCTATGGAAATGATATTTTTGGGGTTATGGTTGATTTTAAAGCTGTTTTTCTACTAAAATCTAGGTTTTCGCAGTGTTTTGAGAGCTATTATTCTCAATTGTAATAAGAAGAGGAATTATTCACATCATAAACGGCTTAAACACAAGATTTCATGTAGTTTTAAGGTTATTTAGTCACAAAATCTTAGTTTAAAACACCAACATAACCTAGAAAAGCAGTAAAATTCGTAAAATTGAGTTTCTAAGTAAAGTAATCAAGAAAAGACGTAAAATATTGCGTCAACTTGTTGAACTGAAGCTTTTGTGAAGCAAATTCCACTTCCGCTGAACTGTACACCATTTCTGCCACCAATTGTCTCCCCCTTGAAATGCAAAAACGCTTTCATTTTAGTACACCGAAAATACACTTTATTTAATCCTTTCTTCATTTTGGTATAACATCTCTTCTTAGCCTTATTAATATCTTCACAATTACATCTTCTGAGTGTCGAAAGAAAAAATCCATTTCAGGGGATTTCTGGACTCGAGATCAAAACTTAATTATTCGCAAAAAGTTAAGAGAATGTAAAGATATAATTATAAAGTAATAATTTCAGTATGAAAATCAAGTTTGATTCGTAACAAATAAATAAGCACTGGATTTTCCACACGGAAACTTAACAATTAAAAGAAAAGAGAGGAAAAAAAGTCCTGTAAATTCGAAACATTCGAAAAGTTTCCCCCTTTTTCTCGACTCTTGTTCACTTTTTTGCCTGGCGGGGAAAATGCTACGCATTTTATATCATTTATAATGGAATTATACATCGAGACAACACTGGTTTATCCGTTTATCATCATCGCGCCATTCTCTGACTATAATATTTTGGGTAAGTGTTTATTCTGCACAGAGTTCAATTGTATTGATTTTTTTTTTTGGGGAGAGTTTCCTGTTTGATTGTCCGGACGTCCTTTGGAAGATAAAATACTGCTGATGTGAACAATCGCCTGTCTACGCAAATCTGCTTCTAGAGACACAAGACAAACTACACTTGGGAATCGCGCGCATATCTTTCACTTCCACTCCCACGGAAGGTCGCCCTCTTCCATGATTCATTCCGCCTTCTTGGCCATGTCCATCTGCTTCGCATCGCGACGCTCATTCGTATCGATGATGCCCAGATTCTGCACGGCCACGCGGCAGTGCACCAGCGAGATGAACGTCTTGGCCACGGCCACGGGCGCCGACAGCACGGCGATGATCTTGAACGTGGACAGGCCGAGGATCAGCGGTCCGGGCGTGAAGTACAGCAGATACAGCGCGGCATAGAACAGCTCATTGCCCACGCACATGGTGAACAGAATGTTCTTGGTGTAGTACATCCGCATGATCCACGACTCGTTCGCGTCCACGAACTTGTGCGACGTCTTGCCCTGCAGCAGCGATCTGCAAAACAGTGGCCAGCAAGAGGAGTGAAGGGGAGTTCAGGGTGGCAAAAGGAAGGCTCTGCCAACGACACGCGGTGTTCCCAGGCGGTCCCCCATCCAAGTACTGACCGCGCCCGACGCCGCTTAACTTCGGTGATCGGACGAGAACCGGTGATTTCAGCGTGGTTTGGCCGTTGACGAGGGAAGATCTTCAGTTTGCCGTCTTCCATTGCGCATTTCTCATGGGAAATGATGTCTAAAGCATGCTTGAAAGATCGCAATGACCAGGCAAAGCCGACAAAGCGCCGATCTTCCCTCGTCAACGGCCAAACCACGCTGAAATCACCGGTTCTCGTCCGATCACCGAAGTTAAGCGGCGTCGGGCGCGGTCAGTACTTGGATGGGGGACCGCCTGGGAACACCGCGTGTCGTTGGCAACCTTTTTGTGCGCCTCCACGAAGAAAATCTCGCCAAAGCGTCATTTTGGAATCTTCTGTTCAACTTAATAGGTGAATTACACAGTCACCAAAAGAAAGTCCAAATCTCCCAAAGTCCTTATCCGATCGCCAAAAGTGGCACAGATTTAGAAAGGCAGTTTCATTGGCTACAACTCTCAAGAACATACCAAGATTGTCAAATGTACTCCAGATGGTCAAAATGACCACAATTCCCAGTGAAGCAGAAAAAGTGTCTTTTCTCAGGTGTTTAAAAATTCATATAAAATAGCCAGCGAGTGGCAAAAATTCAGAGGGCTGAGTCTTGAAAATGGTCAAAATCAGAATCAACAGAACCTCATCGATTTTTAACTTGTTGACATGATCACAATTTTGAAAGTTTCGTGAGTCTTGAGTCAAAATCAGGGAAATGCTTTCGAAACGCACGCAGAAACGTCTTTTTCTTGTTTTGATTTGAGCCAAGTTGATGTGTTTGAGGCAGAAAATGATAAAAATGCTCCACAAGCCTAACGTTTACCCCCAAAGAATCATCATACGGTGTCTTCAGCGCCTTAAGAAGGCTAAAAATTAACCCTCGGGCGACAAATATGTTAATAATGTGCATTATTAACCTACAGATGTTCTCTTGCAGTTAAACAAGAAGTCCCAGGAGCAAAATGAGACTTCTGCGAGTGATCTTGAGGTGCTCCACGAGATGGAGATCAACTTCTTCCCCTTTGCTAAAATTTCTCCATCAATTTTTTTGTCCAACCAATTGTTCATCTTCTGATTACACTTAGATTTGTCTTATATGTTCACATGTTCAATTCATTGATTCATGAGACTTAAGCAGTAAGCAAAGGACGAAGAATTTGGGAATTCCATTCAATTAAAGATACCTTCAAAACTGAAAATGTTTATGGCAAGGATTATGCATGACATAATAAAATTTGGATTATCGTTGCCTCGACACTGCAAAGGACTCTCAGGGACTAAAAGAAATACTTTTATCTCAGCAATAATAAGGAAAATTATCAATATAAAATTAAAAACAATTAAAATAATTATTCTATTATCCATTTCCGATGCCATCGATGGCCATTTGATACTCTAATTGAAGTAAAATCTTAAAATTGAGACATTGAGCAATCGTGTTGACTCGATGTTCTCATGTCAACACGAGTTGATTGATTTTAAGCCAATTTTGACTCGGTTTCTGACTGATTTTTACTCAAGACTCACGAATTTCTCAAAATCAGTCAATTTCCACTGATTCTGATTTTGACGAATTTCAAGACTCAGCCCTTGAGGTTTTGCTTGAAGTTTCAGGGCATTTCATGGGGCACTTTTCCCCCCAAAATCCCTGAATCGTGATATTGGCCTTTAGAGAAAGTCTTTCACGCCTTCGTTCTGCTGCAACACTTGCAGTCGAAGAATGAGCAAATTGAGTAAAAGTATGTTAATTTGATGAATTTCTCTCTAAAGTGTCAAAGATTTATGCTAAATCTTTAACTATATGTATTTTTCAGCTCATGAAACAGATAGAATTGATGTGAAATCAGCAATGATTTGGAAAAAGTCTCTGAATCATGATGACAATGATTGTGCATTTTGCAATCAACCTTGCGTCAAGAACGGAATTAATTAGGCGAAATTGGCACTGCTTCTACCCAAGAAGCTGCAAAGGAAGGTCAGAAGGGTCAGGAAAGAGACAAGTTTGAGTTCAACGACATTGACTGCACTAGTGGAGAATGATAAGAACAACTATTCTGATTCCTGTCCAGATTCGAACTGGGAATGCATGAATTTTCCTTAATTGAAAAGCGAGTTATTCGCTTAATTCCGGAGGCCTTTGACTCACGTGTGGGTGTAAATCCAGTGGCAGGAGATGTCGATGGCCATGGAGACTTGGAAGAGGAACATGTACTTGGGATAGAAGTAGCTCAGCGTCACCAGGAGACACATTGTGCCGCAGCGGTCCGTCAGCTGGTCCAGCACTGCCCCGAACTTGGTGCCTGCGAAGCCAGAGAGACACAGATTAACCTTCGTGCTTTTGGGCTAATCCAATTAGGCAGCCCTTGAGAGAGACTCACATTGGTTGAAGTGTCTGGCCGCGTGTCCGTCCAGGCAGTCCAGGAAGACGCTGATTATGTAACACCAGCCGGCGATGACGTGGTCCGTGGGCATGAACCAGAAGGAAATCAAGGCCAGGATGATCCGGGCATAGCCTGGAAAAATCAATTCGATCAGAGCGCTCCTGGCGGACTTCGGCAAAGTGCATTTTCCCCCATTATCAATTTTCCCCGTCGCCGACAGACGACAAAAGTGCGAAAAAGAAACAAGGGAGAAAAGCCTGGAAAATTCCACCAAAACACACAACAACACACACCAATTAGATTGGGAATGAAGAGGAAAACATTCTCCGTCTCGGTGAGCATCTTTGCACAGCACTGCGACTGATTTTCACCAGGTAATTTTTGCAATTTATCCCGGAGCGCAAAAAAAGCGATGCGGAGAAAGAGTTACTGAGAGTGCTAGAATTGAGCTGGAAATTGCGTTGCTTCACTGCACGAAAATGGCGTCAGCTGTCATTCCCTCTGAGGGCGATTTTTTCTCTCAAAAGGCGAAAAAGCGCTAAAAGAAGAGGGAGAAAAACAGCGCTGAAACCCTTGGAAAAGTGTTCAAATTTGGTGAAATATCAAATTTGAGATCAAGTGCAGCAGAATGCAGTTGTGAATTTGTGCACTTGTGACGTGATTCGGTGAGAAAAATGAGTTGTAAAATTGGCGGGCGTGAATTGATTTTTTTTCAATTCCTCTCCTGGACATTTTCCAGGCCACTCCGCGCCCCCGGGAAAGCAGCGATGTCTCCTGTGCCAGAGATTCAGCCGGACTCTGGAGACAAGGGCGAGTGCAGCTCGGGCAGCGATCACACGGAAGAGAGCGTGAATCTGCAGGACTTTGTTGTGGTGCCGAAGCAAATCTCTCCAGGCTCCGATTGTCCGTCTGAGAATCCTGAGAATGAGGTGAAATCACTGCCCAGCACTGTGGGGACTGTGGGAGTAATTCTGTGTGTACTTGCAGGACTTGGAGTGCTACAGCGATGCCCAGCTGAGGGCGATCCTGGACGAGGCAGTCACTTACAAGCGTCTGAGCGCGACTCCTTCTTCTGACCACTGTGACTTCAGCGGAAGTCTCCGCAGAGCTAAGGAAATTCGCGCTGCAGAGATCAATAAGCGGCCCCTGTGGCTGGACGCGCCCAAGAAGCCAGAGGAGAGTCCTGGGAATCCCTTCGTGCCCAAAACCAATCCCTTCCGCACGACGAACGTCAATGTTGAGGAGCAGCCGCCGAAGCAGAGCGGTTCGGCCCGCCGAAGGGCCCGGAAGGCCGCGGCGGAGGCTGAGAACATCCCCGTGAAGAAGGAAGTGCGCAAGGAGGGCAACGCCATCGTGAGAAACTCCCAGGAAATCGTGGGCTTTCGCGGGAATGACAACATCGACGCCCTGCTGAGGTTCATCGAGAGCTCCGACGCGCCGGCGGCGAAGAAGCCGCCGCGGCCGAAGAGCCAGAAGAAGACCAAGAAGCCAAAGAAGCCAGAGCCCAAGGCCAAGGAGGAGGAAAAGGCGCCGGAGAAGCCCGCCGCGCGGGAGGAAGTGCGCCTGTCGTCCGGGAAGACGTCGCCCAGCCTCGAGGCCGGCGACTTCCGCGTGGTGACGACGAAGAAGAAGAAGAAGCCAAAGAATTGAGCTCAGGGAATTATTGCCATTGCTTTTCATCCCCCTTTTCCGGAATCTCTGTTACAATTTTTTCGCCTAAAATCAAAGTGAGAGAGAGAAAGAAATTGTATTAATAAAAGTGGGTTTTATTCAGCAACAGCGTGAATTGCATTCTCGCGCCTGAAGTGCTGCAGGAACTCAGGCCAGTCCTCAATCAATCCCTGCTCGTCCATCTTCTTCCAGTTCGGCGACGGGCGGTCCGGCGAGAGCCAGTTGAAGTCCGCCACGTCCTGCCAATTGTTGCGCTCGAGATCCAGCGCGGCGCTGGCGAAGTCCTTCCGGATGCCCGGATAGGTCCAGGAGTAGAGCGCCGTGCGGATGCCGGTGCAGTCCTCGATGATGGCGCGACACGTGACGTGCAGATAGATATCACAGGCGTGCGACGTGTGCAGGCGCATCTGCTGGCACGCGAAGGCGAACTTGCACTGCCGGCAGTCGTCGGCGAAGACGGATCTGGCCACGGGCCCCGCCAGGATCACGCAGTTGCGCAGCTTGGACAGCTGAATGGAGCCCGGATGGCCCACGATCCGCACCACGCAGCTCTCCAGGTCGCTGATCGTCACGTCCTGGCCATTCGTCAGCTCGCCATCCAGCAGAATCTCCCGATTCCGCAGCCCAGCGACAGTCCACTGGAACTCCTTCCGCTTCACCCCGTCCAGCTCATCCTTCCGCGCCTCCTCCTTGTCCTCCTCCTTCACCTCTGGCTTCGTGTAGGACTTGAAGCCGAACTTCTTCTTGGGTATCAGCCTGGCGCGCTTCTCCTCCACCTGCGCCTGCAAATCATTGATCGCCGCCTGACACGTCTTGATCTTGTGCTCCGTGAGGAAGATTGTGGACGTGGATAAGTACTTCTGCAGCTCCTGCAGACTGCCCAGGATCTTGTTGAATGTGCCCGTGAGTTGATTCCTGTCGCCTGGCTGCAGATTGTTGAGATTCTTCTGAATCTCGCGGCTTTTGGTGCCGAAAACCTGATCAAAATACTCCAACGCCTCGAATTCATTCGCCTCCTGATTCTTCAGCTCCTGCAAGCTGGCCAAATTGCTCTGTCGCTCCCTGTGTCGCCTGTTCAGGAACTCCGTGATCCTATCCTTTCCCCACTCGTCCATCTCTCGAGATCCTCAAGTCTACTCCAATCCCAGATTCCTCCTGTTGTCCGCCTCGATCTCCTCCCTGGTCTTCAGATACACCGGCTTGTCGTCCACCGCCTCCTGGAGCTTCTTCAGTGCCAACGTGGCCTTCCGCTTGTCCTCGGGCACGTTTTCCACACTCGATCCCGCCCGGATCTGTGTCAATTTCAATGTCTTCGGCTCAGTGATCTTCAGGAAAACGTAGCCAAGAGCTGAGCAAGTAACTAACCACGCAGCTGACTTCACATAGACAAAGAGTGGAGCCATGAGAAGAATCTGCCAGAGATGAGAGGCAGAAGATCAGCATTGTGACGATGAGAAAGTGACCAGAGAAAACTCACCAATCCCTCTTCGACTGACTTCTGTTCCACTGCGCAGCGTCCAGCTGACGAATCTCCGCGCCCTTGCCCAGAAGCTCACCAACTCTGTAGAATCCCTCCAGGAAGTACGGATAGTTCTCGTTCATATATTTCCGGAACTCTGAGGAAAAACAAGGGGGAAAAATAAGCAAATCACATAACCATCCGAAGGAGCCACGAAAACACCCGAAGCCACACTCGTGTGAACTCCGCACCGCCAATGACTCATTGCGTAAACCCTGATCGACGAATCCCACGTGAAATCTCACCAGAATCGCCGCAAAGAGCGGAATTGCGAGCAAAAACTCACCCGAGTTGGTGTTCATGCGATGCCACACGGCGTACGAGCCAGCGAGAAAAACCACCTCAGCCGCTATTCCGATGCCCAGACTGCGTTTGACTATTCTCCACAGGCGCGATTCTGTGCTGTTCTTCGGCATATTACGCAGAAAATCCCCCGGAAAAGGATTTCATTGGGTTTTTCACTGAATTTCCGCACCTTCTGCTCACAGATTGACATTCACTTTTCCTTCGAGAAGAGACTGCGAGAACAGCGCCAGCGCCTCTGTCGGAAATCCCCGGAGGATGTTTTCAAAAACAAGACGGGAAAACGACAGTTAAATGAAACTCATCCATAGAAGTAAGAGTCTTTTTCCTTCCTTTTTAGTTGTGAAAATCATGAAGAAATTGGAGACAGGAGAAATGTCGTCATTTCTAAAATTACACATGATTTCATGGTTTCTGGAAATTTCTTGGAACCTCCCCAGATCGTTCTACGCGCCACAGTGCGGCGCTGCGGTGGCGACGGTGCGGGAATCGCGAACGTCAGCTGCTAGAAAGATGGTGGTGAAACGTCAAAGATTTTCAGAATGTCCGTCGAAAAATTTGGGGTAGAAAAAGTGTGAAAAATGGTGAAAAAACAGGCCGTGCTCGGCGCCTAGTTGGACAAACCGTGCGTGAAGCAGTGCTTGGACACTCGAGTGGGACAATGCACCAGTGAGTGCGCCACAGACGCGTGTAAATACTGTGCGAGCGGCGCTGTGAAAAAAGGTGGCTGGACACTGAGAGTGGCCGCGAAGGTTGGGCCATCTCGTGCACACGGAGGGACTTTTGCGTGGCCAGCGCGAGGAGCGACACGGGGGGCGCGCGAGGGTGCCGCAATAGGGGTGTAGCGCGGCTCTGGGGCGAGTGCGGGGCGGAGGGTGGGGGACAAGGAGTCGTTCGTCGCGATTTCAGCACATCCAAGATGGCTCCGTCTCCAGAACTCGGCCAGCCAAAGGCGCCCGACAAGGCGGAGGCCGGCGCCAGCAGCGAGCCAAGGGGCGCCCCCAGCGACAGCGGAGCCGCCCGCGCCGACACAGCCAGACCTCCGGCCCAGGACAGCGAGGTACAAAGACTTGGTGTGCTCGGGCTGCATGTGGGTGGGAGCGGGACGGCACGACAGCCGCGAGCGCCGTTAGTGGTGGTGGAGGCAACTTGGGTGTCACTCGCGGATGAAATTGCAAAAATCCCCCCTTCTCGCGCCTCCCCGGCCCGCGGCGCGTCCGCGGGGCGCCACATGCCGTGTGGAGGGCCGCCGGGCTTCGGCCCGCCGCGCCGGGAGGCTGCTCCGGTGGCCCCCGTGTGCCTGGAAAATCAATAATCGTGCAAATTCACGGACGATGTCCGAGAGAGCCTCGCACACACCCTCACTTGATGGCCTCGTTGTGTTACAGGTTCACTTTTCTTCGAGCAATATGGCGTGTTTCTTCACTCTCTCGCCTTGTGGCCGCCTTCTGGTGCACAGCGAGCGCCCCGCGGAGCCTCCACAGCCTCTGGAGCCTCCCCGAAAGCCCGTGTGACGATTCTGGGCGCGAGACACTTGAGAAAATGCACGAAAATGCGTGCGGAAAGGGAAGATTTCCTTCAAATCTCAGTCTCTTTGGCATTTCCTGTCCTCCAAAAGTGTGTTCCTCATCAACTCTTTGATTCCAGGCTTGATTGATTGGCAGTTTCAGCGCCAAGAGAGTGTCGAAAGGCAATTGAGAAATAGATATTCAAATTGCGCTCTTCGCCCACAAGAAAAAACACCTTCGCAGCATTTCTCTGCGGCTGCAATTTGGCCAAATGGTCTCCCAAACGTCCTCCTGACCATCCAACAGTGGAAATCTCTGGCAACATTTGTCATAATGTAAATTCTCAAGTCACAATTTTTCTCTTGTGGCAATTTGTGGTGGCAAAAAAGCGCATGTTGCTCGACTTTTGGCTATTTTTACACCCGCTCGAGGCACAGATTTCCTCACCAGAAAGCGCTCCACCAAAAGAGACCTTCTTCCTCCTCCTGTGTGAATGGGAGGAAAAAGTGTCCTGCCGGTCAAGTGTTTTGACCCCTGCCAAAAAAAAGGGAGAAGCATAAATTTGTTGGGGGTGAAAATGTGTGAAAATTGATGGGATGTTTTATCTGGAGTTTTGTGTGGTGAAACTTTGCTTGGCCTTCGTTGGAAAACTTGTGCGTTTGTGTTGAAAATGATTGATAAGTCAAAATATAAGACGATCTCTCTGTTGGCCCTAAAGATAAATCAATTTTTATTGGTAGAAATTCTCATTGGAAAATTCATTTTACTCTCCTCGAAATTGTAAATATTTTATAGAGGATTTTGTAGTGTCGTGGGAAATTTATTTAATGCTTCTTTTTGGCATTGACCTTCGCTTGTGTTCTTACATTTTTTAAGAGCACAACATAAACTTGAAGTGGTTAAATTGAGGGTGGATTTAAGTGACTGATTCAATAGAGGAAAGCCGAGCAATTTTTGGAGAGAGAAAAAGAGAAAGAGAAATGAAGAATATTTATTGAGAAACTTTATGAAACTTAAATGATTTATTTTTCCTATAAATAGAGCTGAAAAATGACGCAATTTTTTTTGTCTGGAAAAATCTCAGCATTTTTCTGCATTTCTTATAGAATAAATTCAATCATATTGAATCAATAAATCCATATTTCTGTAGACAATTCTAATGAATTGCATGAAATAAATATGTTTGAATATTTAATTTTACCGTTTAAAGTAATTCAAAAGCGTTTTTCTATTGATTTCAAATTAATTTCCATATAAATTTCCATTGAAAATATGAAGGCAAAACATTCTGATGTCTTTGCGTGAGATTTTCATCTTTTAGTTCTTCTTTTGCTACCTGGAAAAATAATCACAGTGGCTGAATTTGCCCCAGTTTTCTCTATATATTTTTTCTTCCTCCTCAGCTTGATTTGACTGAGAAATTCTACAACAAATGCTTGGCAAATACTTAAGATTTTCTCTCACTTCTTCATTTGCCAAAATATTTTGTGATTTTCATGTTCTCTGCAAATGCTGTATTTTGAATTGTTTCTGACCTGTGAAGAAATGATGTGAAAGAATTGTGTTGGAGAAGAAATTCACAAGCGCTGCACGAACGTTGGTGGATTTTTATAATTGAATTAGACATGTTTGTGAAGAGCGGACAAAAGAGAGTTTGTTGAATTGAATTTGAAATTGATATATTGCCAATATGTTGAAAATATGTAAAAATGAGAGTTTCTTCTGTTTGGCACAGAAGAGAGAAAGAGAAAGAGAGAGAGAAAAATGTGTTTATGTGCGCGAGAAAATGCTTTTCCTCAGTGTTGAAAAATTGTGCGTATTGGTTTGAGAGGGATTTTTTTTTAAGCAAATATATTTCCTTTAGAGTTTTTTTCTTCAGTTCTTATGTCAGCTGATTCACGCAATGTGTGTGCGCTTTATTTGCTGGGCCAGAAACATTATTGTTAATGATATAGTTTGGAGGAATAAAGGGAGTGTTTTTCGTGGCAGAGTATTGACTGTTCACACGCCATTTATCTAATTAAACGGGCATTTTTTTTCCTCGCAAAATGTGTGAAATTTGAATGTGACAAAAGGAGCAAAAGAGAGAGAGAGAGTGAGAGAAAGGGAGAGATTTTGGGCTGTTTTGCGGTGGGAAAAGAAGCCACAGAGGAGATAAGTTGATAAGAGGGGAAAATGAAGGCTGATTCCTGTTTCAGAACAACGTGCAAATCGACGGGTGCCTCGAAAACTATAAAAAGTCAAAATTGCCATTTTTCAGCAAAGCGAGTTCAAAATTTTGCATTAAAACAGCTGCGAAATTTGCCAAATTTACTTCAAAATACTCAAAATGCCTTCAAATCGTTCGTTAAAGTGAAAATATTGCTCTGTATTTTTAATTTTGTAAATGTTTTATTGGTATTTATTGAAATTTTTCACTAAAATGTGGCAAAATTAATAGAAAATCTGAAAATGTTACTTTTCAAAGTCGATTTTTAATGATTTTTGAGTCGATTTTATACAAAAAATCAACTTTTCATACTTCAAATGAACTTTTTCTTAATGTTTTCAAGTGAAAAAATTTAAAAGATATGAGAAATATTCATTTAAAGTCCAGAAAAACATTTTAGGATAATTCTGAAAATCTACAAATATTTTCTAAAAAGACGTTTTTATGCATTTGACTGCAATTTTTGAGAAATTTTCATTCGCAAAACATGACAATTTTTTTTTCCATTTGTGCTTTTTAGATAAATAAGATTTTTTTCTATTGTCTCATAAGATACAAATCTTAAAATTCTTGTACAGAAAGAACAAATAAAAGGCTTTTCAAAAATACATGAAGACGAAAACTATGATAAATCGACTTTTCATAGTTTTCCATTCACCCGTCGAAATGCAATCATTCTCTCGCTGTTCGGCTGTCCTATGGGATGAGAGCGAGAGAGAAGAACCAGCCTTGCCAAGGTCTTATCACTGGACTTTTGCTTCATTATCTCGTGGTTTTTGTGGCCAAGTGAATGCACTGTCTTCACATGTTTACGGTTCTTCACATGTTCATCACGCAGTTCAGTTGGCATTTTGGCCCAGGCAATGATGAAGTGTTCGCTGTTGAGTTGCTCAAGTTGATGATTGTGATTGAAAATGGAGCACTTTAGGCATCGATTGCTCCATCATATCTGCGATGGGAGGCCAATATTCATCATCTTACCATCAATTTCTGTTAGATTTTGTCTCCTTTCTTCACTGATTGATGTGAAATTATATCACTTTTCTTTCTTCTCTCATTGTTTTGCAGAACTTTGAACACTTCGATGACGGTCAATTGAAGGCTTTACTGGATGAAGCCATCACATATAAGACACCAAAGGATCGTGAGCACAAAAGTGAAGCATTTAAGGTGAGTGTTTTGTATCCATTTTTGCTCTAAAATGCAATTTGATGAGTGAATTGTATGTGAAAAGTCAATTTGTCATATTTTTCACATTTGATTCACTTGAAAAGTTTGTAGAAAAGTTCATGTGAAGTTGGAAAAATTGATTTTTTAGAACTTTTTCGGATAAAATGTACTCAAAATTGATTGAAAATCGACTTTTGGATAGTTATTTGTTCGATTTATTTATTATCTTTGTCATATTTTAGTAAAAATTCCAATAAATATCAATAAAATGTCAGAAGAATTCAATATTTTATGTGATTAATCTATTTTTATGTGTGAAAATTATGAAAAGTCAGTTTTTCATAGTTTACAACGCACATTTCTGCTAAGAAAAATGTCTCAAATTGCAGTAAAATCAATATTTCTGATATTTTTAAATTTTTTCACTTGAAAACTCTAAAGAAAAGTTTGTGTGAAGTATGAAAAATTGATTTTTTAACACGTTTTTCAATAAAATGTACTCGAAATTGATTAAAAATCCACTTTAGGAAGTAATATTTTCAGTTTTTCTATTAACTTTGTCATATTTTAGTCAAAATTCCAATAAAATCAACTAAAATATTAACAAAATAATTCTTACAAGGCAATAATGAAGACTTTATTGAACAATTTGCGGATGTTTGAGTTAAAATTCGGTAAATTTCTTTGATTTTTCATCGTTTTCGTTTCACTCGTTGAATTGGAAGAATTAGAAAATCATTGATGATCAAGAAAATGATGAGAAAAGGGAGTCAAAGTTCAAAGTTTTCTTGTGTGTCTTTTGCTCGTCTGTTTGAAAGTGAGAAAAGCGTCAATGTTACTTTCGTTTCTTTTGTAAAATTCACAGTGTTGATGAGCAAAATTGCACATTTTCTTTGTTGAGAGATGAAGAAGAAGAGAGTAATTTCTTCTTCTCTCTCTCTCTCTCTCTCTCTCTCTCTCTGTCTGTCTTTGTGTTCGTCTCGAGGACTCGATTTTCCTTTTAATTAACATTCACATGCAGAAATCTTCCGGAGGGTTGGAAAAGCGGAGAGAATGTGTGGAGGAAAAAGAGTGTGAAGAGTCATTTTATGCTGATGTATCGCTTGGGTGCCTCATTAAATTTTATCTATGCACTTTTCATTTGGATTAACTATCGAGCGAGAGACGAAAGGAGAGAGAGAGAGAGAGAGAAGAGAGACGAAAGAGGAGAGAAGAGAGATGCTGAGGAGTAATTATTGCATAGTGTGTTGCGGTGTTGTTATGTAAGGAAAGAATGGGAGGAAGAGAAAAGTGTGTTGATAAGAATGACCGCGTGTGTGAGATGACAAAGTATGATTGCAAAAAGTTTTGTCGTTTAACTCACTTCTTAAGCATTTAAAGTTTATTTGCAATTCAGTGCCAATTTCATGGTCTTCCATGCAGATTTTTACTAGCTTGGTTGGCGTTGAATAAATGTGTCAAAGCGGAAACACATCAATAGAACAATAATAATTGCTGTGTGGAATAATTAATAATTCATGTTATGCAATATAATATCAATTTATGTGATTTGCATCAAATTGATTTTACTGAAATTGTGAGTTTTTTTCTTATGCTTTTTCGGGCGTTGTTTGCATTGCGAAAAGAAGACTGACATTCAAGTTGTGTGCATTTCGTCAGTTTTTATTTTAAAGTGTATCAAATAGAAAGTTAATGTAAGAAAAAGGTTGTGCAAAAAGTCTTCTCAATATCATTTTCAGCGCAAGGTTGTTCTTTGAAACAGTGTTGTTAACACATGAATTCATGCGACATTTTGCCATGCAAATTGTTTGAGAAATGCATGGAAAATTGTTGGAATCAATTTTCTGAAGATATTTCAATTCAAATTTGCCATAGAAAAAGTCTTTTTCTGATGATTTTCTATCAGAATTGATGCTTTTGAAGAGTGTCTTTTTAATCAATTTGATCGAGATTAAGAGAAATTTAGAGTATTTACACTAATTTGCTTAAGAAAGCATTCAAACTTAAGGCCATAATTTCTCCTCTTTTGATTGGAATGTTTCGACGGGTGAATGGAAAACTATGAAAAGTCGATTTATCATAGTTTTCGTCTTATGTATTTTTGAAAAGTCTTTTATTTGTTCTTTCTGTACAAGAATTTTAAGATTTGTATCTTATGAGACAATAGAAAAAAATCTTATTTATCCAAAAAGCACAAATGGAGAAAAAATTGTCATGTTTTGCGAATGAAAAGTCAAATCTTCAACAATTTTTCCAAGAAAAATGTCTCAAAAATTGCAGTCAAATGCATAAAACGTCTTTTTTGGAAAATATTTGTAGATTTTCAGAATTATCCTAAAATGTTTTTTTTTTTTTTGGACTTTAAATGAATATTTTTCATATCTTTTAAATTTTTTCACTTGAAAACATTAAGAAAAAGTTCAATTGAAGTATGAAAAGTTGATTTTTTGTATAAAATCGACTCAAAAACCATTAAAAATCGACTTTGAAAAGTAATATTTTCAGATTTTCTATTAATTTTGCCACATTTTAGTGAAAAATTTCAATAAATACCAATAAAACATTTACAAAATAAAAAATACAGAGCAATATTTTCACTTTAACGAACGATTTGAAGGCATTTTGAGTATTTTGAAGTAAATTTGTCAAATTTCGCAGCTGTTTTAATGCAAAATTTTGAACTCGCTTTGATGAAAAATGGCAATTTTGACTTTTTATAGTTTTCGAGGCACCCGTCGGTTTGTAATCTAGTGTGGATAATTTTGCGTGGTGATTTTGGGAGAATTTGTACAGACGAATTGCAAATGTTGCCGAATTCGTGCAATGAAAAATGATGGAAAATAACGAATTTCTTTCTGTTTTTTCTGCAGAAACTGCTTCAGCGAGCGGAGATTCAGGAGCAGGCTTTGGAGTTGAACTACGAATTTAAGGCGTCACGACAGTCTGGCGGCTCGTTGCAGGACTTGGCGAATCCCGCCGATGTGGACTTCTTCGGCAGCAGCATGAATCACCAGCGGAAGCACCACAATTCGCGCCAGAAGAAGTACAGCACGACGTCGGTGTCGTCGCGCCAGCGCGAGGGCGGAAGTCTGCCCAGTAATGTCAATGTGGCCACGAATCATTTGCTGTGCGAGGCGACGCAGCCGTTTCTCAGTGAGAAGCGCGGCGGCGGCGGCGGCGGCGGCGGCGTGCGGAAAGTCGTGCCGGAGATTCTTCCGCTGATGTTCAGCGCCGTGGCGTCGGATTTGGTGGAGAAGCGCGAGCGCAAGTTGCACGGCGGCGGCGGCGATGTGGAGACGAGCGTCGTTCTGGTCAGGAGTGACGGCAAGATACGGATTAGCGACGATGTGCAGCATCACGAGCATGACACACTGTTGCAGGTGAGTTGCTCCGCACATTATTCACAGGCTGAGATTCAGATTGGGAGGAAGAGAGGAAGTTGGCGTTTGTGCAAGTCACGCAGAGGCTTCAGTCGCTGGTCAGGCGAAAGATGCTCTGCTCAAGTGTCTCTCAGTGCATTTTCCGCTCAAGAGCAAGAGAACAAGAGAGAAAGAGAGAGAGAAGCATCTTGATGAGTGGCAGATAGAATCGAGTGCAATATTCGCGCTCTTGGAAGTTATCCAAGTGTGATAAAGAGTCTCACGAAAATCACAAATACAAACACAGATGAAAAAGTCACTGATAAAATCTTCTAATGCGATCATGAATTCTGCTGACAATAATTTTGGACTTTTATTGAGTGGCACAAATAATAAGATGTTGAGGGAAAATGAGACAGAGATTAATGAACTTCTTCAGAGTTTTGTTTACAAAATCTTTTCAGTTGTGTGCGAAATTTGATACAGCAATGAAATGTTTTAATGTGATCACTTTACTTGAGAGTTTCTATTGGGATTTAATTACAATCAAATATTTGCTTCTCTTGACACTCGTAGAATTTTGACAGGGGAAAAGATATGAAATTGCACTCATTTATGATGCAATTAATGTTCGACGGGTGAATCGAAGACTATCAAAAGTCGTTTTTTGATAGTTGACGTCTTATGTCTGTTTGGATTGATCTTAATGTCTTCTTATCACGTGTGAAAACATTACATTGAGTGCATTGGCAAAAAATAGAGAAATAAGATTTTTCTTAAAAACTCCGCGTGTAGAAAATTTCTCAATGTTGCGTTGAAAAGTATGAAAAGTCGACTTTTAATAGTTTTCGCCGCACAAATCATCCTGATCGGAATTATATAATCATTATTCGATGAGCTAAAAAGACCTCAATTTTGCAGTTTTAAATCTTTTCACTGTTAAATTGACAAGAAACCAAGCCAGAAACCCTTCGTGAGTGTCTTTCGGTTTATAGACGGGAGACGAAAGTGTGAAAAAATGGGCAGGAAAAATGTAAAAAATTGATTTTTACGAATTGTTTGAAAAAAAATACACAAAAATTATCAAAAACCGACTTTTTGTACCAAATTTTTCCAATTCGTCTATTAATTCTTCGTATTTTAGTTAATATTTCAACAAAAAACAGTGGAAAAACCTGGGAAAAATTGCATAAAAATAGAATTGAGCAATATTATCAATTTACTGGAAGATAACAGGAAGTTTATGTAAAAATTAGTAAGATTTCAAAGAAATATCAAATCTCAAACTTCAAATCGCTCTACTAAAAAATGGCGATTTTGACTTTTGATAGTCTTCGGGGCAACCGTCGGTATAAAGTTTAATTACAATTGATAAATCAAAGTGTTTAATTAAAATTTGAAGTAATAAATAAAGCATAGTTTGATTTTATTAAATTATTCTGCGTTGAAATGTTCATTGGAATCATTCTGAGAATTTAATAATAATTTTATCACTTAACTTTCTAGAGAATTTTAATCATTTTGGGATGTTTTTTTCACTGAAAATTGTCACTAATCACAATGAAAAGCAATCGCAGGGTGCAATAAAGCAATAAACGCACTTCAGCAACTCTTTATTTAAAAAAAAACACTCTATGAATAATTGCAGAATCACGGCGACGTTGGCGGCGAGAGTTACGACAAGAATTCCCTGAACAAGATCCCGAGGGCGAATTACACATCACAGAAGAAGATTGATCTGACGTCGGGCGCCGTCGGGGTGTCGGCTGTGGACACGGGAGTGGAATTTGCACAGTTCACCGGACAAAAAGTTTCTGGTATTGTAGGCCGTGAGGCAATTGAAATGACATCTCCTCTGCAACTAAACTCATCCTACAATTCAGTGAGCAGCGTCGTGACACCGTCGACGGCGGACGGCGGCAAGAGTGTCCAGGCGTCGCTGACACACAAGATTCCGGCAAAGCAGGGCTCCAGAGATGTAAGAATGTTCCTCTTCACCATTGTGCTTATTGTCATATGAAATTTGATTTCTTCTTGTTATGCTTTAATGCTGTGAAATTTTTTTTTTCGGTCTTAGCAGAAGACGGATGAGAATGGCAATTCTGTGAATACTTTCAATGCAACGGCCACGGTGACTGTGCCACAGCAGCCGCAGCAGGCGCAATTGCAGTCACAGACGGCGAAGACGAAGAAGAAGATCTCCAAGTCGGAGCGGAACACAATCACGAAGAATTCTCATGAGATTGACGGCTTCCGTGGGCGTGATAATATTGATACTCTGGTGCGATTCATTGAGAGTAGCGAGAGTACGCGCAAGAAGAAGAAGAGCAACGGCGGCACGAGTGTGCCGCTGGTGACGAAGAAGGAGAAGAATGGCGGCGGCAAGAAGGACGGCGGCGACAATAATAATAAGCTGAAGAAGAGCAACTCGATGGACGAGCTGAGCAGCAGCAGCAAGCTGGAGGAGATTGCCAGGGCGGAGAGCAGTGGTGTGACGCTGCGTGCGAAGAATGCGAAGAAGGCGGTGTCGGAGACGACGCCGCTGCTCGCGGGAGCGGCGGCGGCGGCGCACAAGGGCGCCAAGCGCGGTGAGCGGCGATCGTGGGGCACGGAGGAGTTGTCGTACTTGGGCGAGAGTGATGTGATGGCGGTGGCGGAGCAGCCGAAGAAGGAGAAGAGCAGCAAGGCGGCGGCGGCGGCGGCGGCGAGCAAGGAGCTGAGTCTTGTGGGTGGGAATCTCAAGCAGAAGAAGGACGATCAGCAGTCGCTGTCGGTGGAATCGATGTCGGCCACGTATGAAATGGCGGAATTTCATGTGGTGACGAAGAAGAAGAAGGCAAAGAAGAGGCAGAATATCATTGTGACGCCACTCGAGGTGGATGCGCGCGTGACGCCGAAGAAGCAGCAGGATCAGCGCCAGGAGCACACGACGAGTGGTGGTCAGCAGAATCGTGCCAAAGCAGTCTACAATCATCAAACCAGTAGTCATTTCACCAATGATCGCGACGTGTATGTGAATGATCGACGCAAATCCACATCTTCCGTGCCGCCATCGGAGAAATCCGACTCCAGTGATCTCGATTCTGTCCACTCGCTGCCCGTGGAGTCGTCCCTGTCGCTGGGACTCAGTGTCACGACGTCCTCGACGCCGCCGCAGGCGTCGTACGCAGACATTGCGCGGATAGCCAATGTTGTGAGTCAGGAGCAGCAGCAGCAGCGCTTCCAGCTGAAGGACAACTGGCCGGCCATGCCGCTGAGGCACTCCAGTGGCAATCAGGAGACCGTGGAGACGGCGTCCACCAACAGCGGCAGCACGACGGCGAGCTACAAGAGCCAGAGCAGCGTCGTGCTGCGATCGGTGCCCGTGGAGCTGTCGGATGGCGATGAGGGCGAGAAGAGGAGTCCAGTGATGATGAATGGCGTGATTCAGGCGAGCGTGGCGGATGTGATCAAGAGCAGCATGGAGGGTGGCAAGAGTCAGCTGCAGAAGTCGAAGAGTGTGGAGAACGACACGAGCGCGTACTTCAGCAGCATCGATCACTATCCGGCGCTGGAGAAGACTGTCAAGTCGAAGCAGCAGCAGCAACAGGCGGCGAAGAGTGTTGTTCCCAACGTCGAGATGACGACGAAAAAATCAAAATCAATCGTATCAAGTAATAGTAGTGTTAGTGTTAGTAGTAACAATCTTAGCAGTAATTGTAATGCTAGTGTAAGTCCAAATTTGGCTGTGAAAATGTCACTTGTTGATCAATTGAAATCTCCGGCACTCGTGAGCAGTGTCAGCAGGAGTGAGAATATGCCAAGGGAGAGTGAAGAGATCACGGTGACGAAGAGTCACAAGGTGAAGCAGACCAAGGCGGCTGCCACGGCAACGGCGGCGACAGAGGAGCGGCGGCCGGCGGTGATCATTCTCAATGACAATGATCGCTATCAACTCAACGAGGGCATCACATTTGGCTTCGACATCAACAGCCAACTGCTCTTCGGGGACTTCAATGAGAATGAGCTGCACTTGCTGGAGAGCAGCGACGCCGGCTATGACGGCTCCAGCGCCTCCACGGAGCCGCACGACGCCACGACGGACACGAGTGCATCGGAGGCGCACTTGAATCACTCCTCGGACGATTCCGGACGCCAGACGCCGCCCGGGCGGCAGGATGGGGAGGAGGAGGAAGAGGAGGAGGATGAGGATGTGGATGTGGACGAGGAGGATAGCGACAAGTGCGACCCGATGCCCATTCTGAAGGCGTGCGTGAGCGTGCAGACGAGTATGGAGCATCTCTACGTGAACGACACGACGCCGACGGTGCGTGTGGAGGAGAGAGATTCGTCCATTATTGCGTCGATTCCCGCCCAGATTGCATTCACGCACGCCGACGACAGTGCCAACATCATGCAAATCCAGCGGCGAATGTGCGGCAAGAAGCTGAACGTGAGATATGTGGCGCCCGCCGGAGAAGAGCTCATTCTCACCACGTACAATCACGACAAGATTGTCAACTTTGTGGGATTGGGTGAGTTTTACTTCATTGCTTTATTGCTTTTCCACTTTAGTTTTAAACTATAATTCGATTGGGCGATTTGAAAACTATGAAAAGTCGATAATTTCATCGTTTACACTGAAAGATTTGTTCTAAGAAAATTGTCTCAAATTGCAGTCAAAAGCATTAAACGTCACTTTGATAAACATATTCATTCTAGACTTGCTTAAAATGATCTTAGACTCAGTTTTTTTACTTGAAATCATTGCAAAAAGATCATTTAATGTATGATAACTTGATTTTTAGCACTTTTTGGATAAAAATTTTCTTGAAATTGATTCAAAATTGACTTTGAAAAGTAATATCTTCAGTTCTTTTCTCTTAACTTTGCCTTTTTTTTAGTCAATAATTCCAGTAAATACTTTTAAACTTAACCAAAATATTAAATGAGTGAACGATTTAGAAGATGTTTTAAATGATTTGATGTAAATTCAGCAAATTTCGTAGCGAAATCAATGCTAAATTTTCAATTTACTCATTTCTAATTGATTAAAATTCCCCTTAATTAGAGATTAGTGGCGATTTTGCGAGTGAAATTGTGTATTTTCCATCAAGAGCCAAACATAATAAGAGTTTCTGGGTTAATTGATGGTTTTGTTAGTTGAATTTGCATTAGAATAATGAGGTGATTTGTTGATAAAACTCTGCCAGTGATAGATCGACGGGTGAATGGAAAACTATGAAAAGTCGATTTATCATAGTTTTCGTCTTATGTATTTTTGAAAAGTCTTTTATTTGTTCTTTCTGTACAAGAATTTTAAGATTTGTATCTTATGAGACAATAGAAAAAAATCTTATTTATCTAAAAAGCACAAATGGAAAAAAATTGTCATGTTTTGCGAATGAAAAGTCAAATCTTCAACAATTTTTCCAAGAAAAATGTCTCAAAAATTGCAGTCAAATGCATAAAACGTCTTTTTAGAAAATAATTATAGATTTTCAGAATTATCCTAAAATGTTTTTTTGGACTTTAAATGAATATTTTTCATATCTTTTAAATTTTTTCACTTGAAAACATTAAGAAAAAGTTCAATTGAAGTATGAAAAGTTGATTTTTTTTGTAAAATCGACTCAAAAACCATTAAAAATCGACTTTGAAAAGTAATATTTTCAGATTTTCTATTAATTTTGCCACATTTTAGTGAAAAATTTCAATAAATACCAATAAAACATTTACAAAATAAAAAATACAGAGCAATATTTTCACTTTAACGAACGATTTGAAGGCATTTTGAGTATTTTGAAGTAAATTTGGCAAATTTCGCAGCTGTTTAATTGCAAAATTTTGAACTCGCTTTGCTGAAAAATGGCAATTTTGACTTTTTATAGTTTTCGAGGCACCCGTCGAATTAGAAATGCTGTCAACGAAGTGAAAAATATCCTTTTGGGAATGAAAATCTCAATTTTCAACGTCAATTTGAGTCTCAAAAAGCTGATTGATTGACATTTCAATACAATTAGATGAGTATTGATGAAATAAATGTGCTTTATTTCATCGACAGTCGCTGTTTAAAGTCTTGCAAAGTGCAGCAAAGCTGCGATGGACAATGAGGAGAGGTTAATAATGGTTGCATTTTGTGTGTTTGATTTCAGCTTGGGAGAATGTCGCTGGAAATGACGGTGTCAAGTACTACGATGGCCAATAAAGTGGTGTTCTTCGGTTGGAGGACAGCACAGGAGAGAGATTAAAAGAATTCAGGCGAGAAGTTGTGCAAAGCAGAGGAGAGAGGAAAACTCTTTAAGACATACTAAAAAAAAACGGAAAAACTGAGCAGAAACTAAATAATACTAAAAGAAGAAAAAGGGTAGAAAAAGTGTCCGAAATAACTGATAAAATGAGAGAGAAAAGTAACGTAAATTGATGATGATGATGAAGAAATGATTGAGGAAGAGGAAAAACTAATTGGTTCTAGAAATTAACACAATAATATTGCTGAAAATAAAAGAGAGAGAGAGAGATGAAGAAAAGCGTGTGAAAGAAGAGAAAATATTTATCGAAAAAAAAAAATTACCACTTGAACTAACAACGGAAGATTAGGAAAGGAAGAGAAAAACTATATAAAGAATAATTGTGTATTGTACATTAAATGAGATGTGAGATAAAGTATATATACAGATAGAATACAGAATATTTAAAAAATGAAAGAAAGAAGGAAAGATGAAAACTTGATAGCAAATTAAATAACGATTAATCGCTTTAGGTAGTTCATATAAATTGAATGGAATGCAAGGGAGATTTTGGCTTGAGGAGGAGGAGAGAAAGAAAAAGTGGTTTAGGAGAATTTTCAGGACATGCGACAACATTTCTATTCGCATTTGACTCATAAACACACAAACACAAAACACAAAAACACACATTTGACATCCCGAAGATCATTTATAGAGAGAGAATATCAACTCTAGGCTCTTTTAATTGTCCGGAAAGGCGGTAGAAGTTGATGGATCAACAAAACACACAACAAACACCAATACTTAAGAGAAAATCCCGTCGTCTTAGAATTTAGTTGCTAAGGAGATGAAAGAAAGAGAGAAATAATTTGTAAGATTGATGAAGAAAAAAAATATAAAAATATATCGACAATTTGTCTTGCAAAAAGAAGAAGAAAAACAACAACAACGTGAACGCGTGAAATTAGGAAAAGAAATCATGCATGTTTTATGGAGTGGAAACAACAACAACAATGTTGTTGATTGGAGAATAAGGATTAAAAAAAAATGGGACCTTTTCGTGACATTATTTGTAATAACAATTGTAAAATGGCGTGAATGTGAAATGAAAGAAAGCGAGAGAAAGAGAGAATTTCTCCTCATTTTTCATTCTTTGATGATGAGCAAAAGGAGAAGAACGCGTGAATGCGGCGTGTGATTGTGTGGTGTTGAAATGAAATATTATTAGTGCTAACACGGCTTAAAGCAGCGTTTAAATCTAAAAGAAAGAAGAAAAAAACTGAATGTGCGCGCGCGCGTGTGTGAATAAAAGTAACAAGAAAAAAAAATGAAAAATCATACCAAATTGGAGTTTAATCAATTAGCTGTAATTGTTTATAATAGATCGCGAAGCCAATTGACTATTATACATTAAAAAGAGAAAGAAAAAGAAATAAATTCATTTCATCATCAGCCCCGTGAAAAAGAAAACAAGAAGAAGAAGAGGAGAAAAGATGCAAAAGCGACAATTTAGCAGTTGATTTATTCAAAAAAAGGAATAAAAGCGATTGTTTATGATATTAGTTTATTGAGTCAATTTAGTTGTTTTTTTTTGTTTTTTAAATCTGAGAAAAATACTGAGCAAATTGAAAATAAAAAAATTTTATTGTCGCAACAATTTGACAAAAAGAAACCAAATTTAAAAAAAAAAAATGAGAAATAGAAATAAATTCTGTTACATTTTAACAGCTTTTCATCTCCAAAAAAAAAATTTAGAGTTGAACGGAAAAAAGTGAGAAAGAAAAGAAGAAATCATTATTTAAAAAAGAGAAAAAAGTGAAGATAAGAAGAAGAAAAAAATCTGTGCTGTTTGTAAAAAGAATGTAATAATTGTAAGGCAAAAATTGATATATCCATATATATATATATATATATATATATATATATATATATATAAAATATTTGAATGAACAGAGAAAAAAAACACGTTATAGATATATAAAAAAAAAATGAGAGAGAAAGAGAAGAAATTGAATTTTAAGTTGTAATTGTAAGAACAATAGATGATAACAAATTTGTAAAAGGTGGAAAAGAAAAATAAGAAAATTCATGTGGTGAAAAATATTCGCAATGAAAGGATTTCACAAGAGACAAAAGAAAAATAGCAGTAAAAAAATCAGTGTTTTCTTTCTTCTTTTCCGTTGAATTTGCATCGTCAAGAGAAAAACATCTTCTAATTGCCATGATAATAATAATAAAAGAAAAATTCTCTGTCCGAAAACACGTTGATGATGATTTAATTTGTCAATAAAATAAAAGAAAGTTTTCAATTTTGACAAAATCTTTTTTCATTGCGAAGATGGAAAACAAATAGCGTTTAAAAAAACAACACTTATCGTGGAAATCTTACCATTTTTAAAAACAAAAAGGAGAAAAAGAGGAAAAAGAATGCAAGCAAAAAAAACACACACAAACACAACAAACAAACAAGAAAAATATCCAATCTTAGCGTGAAGCGACGTGAGAAAGTCCTTGAATTTGTATTTATTGCTGAATTAAAACATTATTAAAAAAAAAATGCAGACGAACGAAAGGAAATCCAGAAAATCACGCGCGCATGAGAAGAATATTGTTATCAAACTATTAACATAAGAGAGCGACAAGAGAGAGAGAGAGAAAGATAATTTTGTGAAGAAATGCGAGTATTTCTTAAGTTTTTCTGTTATTCGAGAGATGAAAGAAATCTTTGGGGGAAAAAATAGCGTGAAAAATAGAATGAAAAAGCACGGAATTATTTGTGTAAAAACTTCCAAGAAAGGATAAAATTTCCACAACTTCTTAAAATCCCCCTATTTATCTTGTGCTCCACTAAAATAGCTATTAAAAAATAAACACAACAACAACACATAAAAATTATATATTTTTGTATTGAATTGTGTGACAATTTTGACACGTTCGAAGAAGCGCAGCGCAAAAAATGCAAAGAAGAATGATAAAAATGAAGAAAAAGAAAAATGTGTTCCGACGAGGAGAGAAAATCAATTGATTTGCAGGGTAAATTGGGGGAAAAAAAAAGCATTAAATACTCCAAGGAAAAGAAAATGAGGGAAGAAAATCAGTCCTGCCAAAAAAAAAGTACTATTTTCGGATTTATTTCAAAAGTGGAAGAGAGAGAGAAAAAATGTGTGACCTTTCAAATACGCTTGATTTTCTCTGCAGAAAAGACTCTTTTTGCCTGTGGAAATGCGCATTATTATGAAAAGAGAAAAGGTGAGATTTTGAGGAGCAAAAAAAAAAACGATACTGGAGAAAGAAGAAGAAGAAGAAAAAGTCCTTATAAATTGTACTAAATATCTTTGTTTTCTGTTTTCTGTTTTTTGAGCAGTGAAGGAAGAAAGAGAGGAAAATTTATGAAGAGAAAACCATAATAATGCGGTAATAAATGTATATTTTAATTTATTTAATAATTAATGATACATATATATAAAGATATAGATATAATGAATAGGATCTAAAGAAGTATAAAAAAAAACACACACTTGTAAAAAGGATTTTTAGCGACAAGAGAGAGAGAGAGAGAGCGAAAGAAAGAGAGAAAGAAAGGAATATTTGAGGTGAGGCGGTGTTAATTGTATACCACGTTCTTTTGCGCACTGAAGCGTGACAACAGAGGATATTCTAGTGATAGAGCGAGAGAGAGAGAGAGAGAGTGTGTGGAAGAGAGTGGAAAAGAACTGATAAAGAAGAAAGTGCATTGAGAAAGAGCCACCAAGAAAAAAGGGTGAAATTTGCCAATGAAATCACGAAAAGAAGCAACACTCATGAAACACTCACATGAAACCCATGCGATGTTTCATGCAATCACATTTCATGTTTCACTGCAAATTTTCCTTGCGTAAAAAAAAATTGTTAGAGTAAATGAAGAAGAAGGAGAAGAAAAACAGTGCTAAGTAATCTTGTATTAAAGAAAAAAAAGAGGAAAGAAGGAGAAAAACGTGAGACATTTGATAAGAGAACCACCCCCAATTTGTGTTGAAAACATTTGTGAGCTGAGTTGATGGAAAAAGAGGCATTTTGAACGACCTACAATATTAAAAAATGAAAAGAATGAAAAGAAGAAAAATCATGGAGAAAAGGAAGCAGAAATGAGGAAAAGAAAACTCATAAAATCACCTTCATTTTTACCTTCTCTATTTTTGTTTTCGCCAACAAAACTGTCGAAAGACAATTTTATGCGTTTTTCAGAGAGAGAGAAAGAGAGAGAAAGAATTTCTGTGTGAAATGGGAGAAAATTTGAGACGTTTGAGAAAATGCAAGAGAGCAAAACTAAGTCATATACATAACATAATGTAATTAATTGTAATAAATTTTAGGCTTCTGCTAAAAGAAAAAAAAAACAAGATGAGAAAAACACAAACCAAGAAGATATCAATGAAATTAATATTGATTTTCACCAGTTTTTTTCTTTATGAATCTTTTTTTTAATCATACTTCCAGAAGCTGAAAAGTGTCTTTTTTTTGTAATAAATCTCTTTAATGTTTATTTGCATTCAAAAATAAAGGAAAAAAACAGATTCATTTACCAAAAAGAAAAGAAAAGAATGATTCGATGCAGAGAAAAATCACACAACACTGCAAATGAGCAATATTAATTGTTGTTGAATGTAAAGAAAAGAGAGAAGAAAAAGGAGTGAAAATCGCAAGAATGAAGTTAAACAATCTTCCGGGAAAAGTTGGACATTTAATTCTCACATAAACTTTAATTTTTTTCAAATGATTTTCACCATTCAAAAGCATGCAAGTTTTGATGAAGAAGACAGACGAAAAAACAAAAAATCTTGCGAGAGGATAAAAGAAAAAGAAAGAAAGAAAGCGAGGAATGTTTGAGAAAAGGATGGAATAATTTTCTCAGTTTTACTAATGAATCCATATTGTAAATTCTTTACATTACATAATGAATGTAACAAAAAAATAATATATAAAATATTATTGAAAGCTATGATGAAAGGCGTGCGTTTCACTTCAGCGGCCGACAGCCGATGCTCAGGCACTCGGTGAAGCTGGGCTTGGCGCCTTGGCACCACTTCTTCCAGCCGTTCCACGCCGAGAAGCCGTGGCGCGCGTAGATCTTCTTCACGCACTGCAGATCGTCCGACAGATTGTCGTCCAGCAGATCTGCGGGAGGATTTAAGACGGAGGATTTAGCACTCAAAGGAGAAGAAATAATGTTGCCCGACTTTCCACGTATTTTCCACAATGATTAAGCGTCAGAGGGAAATTCTATTTCGACGGGTGCCTCGAAAACTATAAAAAGTCAAAATCGCCATTTTTCAGTAGAGCGATTTGAAGTTTGAGAGTTCATTTTGCTTTGAAATTTTCCTAATTTTCCCATAAACTCTCTGTTATCTTTCAGTAAATTGATAAAATTGCTCAATTCTATTTTTATGCAATATTTCCCGGGTTTTTCCACTGTTATTTGTTGAAATATTAACTAAAATACGAAGAATTAATAGACGAATTGGGAAAATTTGCTACAATAAGTCGGTTTTTGATAGTCTTCGTGTACTTTTTTTCAAACAATTCGTAATGGTGAAAACACAGCATTTGTAATTTGTTCACGAACGTCTCTTTCTTCCCCACGCGAATCGTGTATTTTCCTTCCTGCTCACATTTCTATGTCGAGTGTGTGCCTGCAGATTTTACGTTGGGCAACCCGCGCTGAATTTGAGTTTGACGTGTCTGACAATGCGCTTGCTGTCAAAGTGGTCAAAATAGACAAATTTCATATGGAAAATCGAGAAAATTGTCATTGAAATGAATTTATATTGTGGAAAAAACTCAAAAATTGAATGATTCCGTCCATAATGAGCCATAATTGTGGAGAAAATCAGATTGTGTGAAGGCGCCAAAAGTTGATCTGCAGACCAAAATTCTGAAGGGAATCTGACGGGACCGAGCCGAGATGGTATGAGCAAAATGCTGTGTTTTCACCATAAAAATCAACTTTTTTCATTTTTCCTGCCCATTTTTTCACACTTTCGTCTCCCGTCTATAAACCGAAAGACACTCACGAAGGGTTTCTGGCTTGGTTTCTTGTCAATTTAACAGTGAAAAGATTTAAAACTGCAAAATTGAGGTCTTTTTAGCTCATCGAATAATGATTATAAAATTCCGATCAGGATGATTTGTGCGGCGAAAACTATTAAAAGTCGACTTTTCATACTTTTCAACGCAACATTGAGAAATTTTCTACACGCGGAGTTTTTAAGAAAAATCTTATTTCTTTATTTTTTGCCAATGCACTCAATGTAATGTTTTCACACGTGATAAGAAGACATTAAGATCAATCCAAACAGACATAAGACGTCAACTATCAAAAAACGACTTTTGATAGTCTTCGATTCACCCGTCGATTTGGTCTTCTGAGTCAGAAAATCCAGGGTTTTTCAATTTTACAGCATTTTGTACAAAATTGCCCCATTTTAGGGTAATTTTTGAGCCTCTTTACGCCGGCCAAGTTAAATACTGGATTAAAATTTATGCAGCATTTGACAGTTCTCCATACAAAACTGTCAAATAAATGCTGCATCTATTTTAATCCAGCATTTAACGATTGCGGCATAAAGAGGCCCAAAAAGAGAGCCTAAAAATGCCTGAAAAGCATTATTTAATGGCAAATGAATCATCCAAAATATCTAATGGAAAGGAAACTTAAGGATTTTCATTAGTTTTTCTAATCTAGAAGCATTCTTGCAAAAATATCATGAATAAAATGAAAAACGTCAAGCTATCAAACTTTATCAGCGCTGTTTAAGTGAAAATTGTGAAAATACGTAACTTAAGTTCAATTATCTGTTCGGAAAATGCGCTGTTCGAAGCTGTCCTAGATCCATTCTTCCCCGCTCTCCCCTATTCGTCAAAATATCGTCCATTTAGTCGACTAAACTCACCCTTGCAGTCGATGTTGCAGTCATTGGAAAGTCCTCCGTCGTCACACCAGTAATTCTCGTTGATCTGCAAAGGATTGTTTTGCTCAATGTCACGCAATCTTCACAATTTAATTTAATCGCTTTACGATCTGTGACTAATAATGTGAAGGCGTGTGTCGATTGCTGATTACCTGAAACAGCCCGTAATCAAATGATCCATTCGTATTGGGCCCTCCGATGGCGGAGCTGTTGTACGAACTCTCGGTCTGAATGACGCACAGCCAGTCGGAAATCTCCTCCAGCGGAAAGCCCTCGTCCAGGAGGATCGGCAGGAGTTCGCACTTGGTGAACTTGCGTCCCTCGCTGGGACGCAGAAGGGCGGCGACAAGCGCCAAAAGCACAACGAAAGTCACTTTCATCCTCACACGCGAGATTGTTGTGGCAAATCTGGCAAATTCCGCCAGAACTTTCTGCTTTTATACCGCGCGCGAAGAGCGGAAAGCGCGCCGAAACAGTTCAATGGAATTGTATCGCGATTGTAAATTTGTGTGCTGAGACACTTTAATCACCCTTCGAACCTTTTGTCTCTTGCCGCAAATCCAATCGTCAGATAATCTCCTCTTCAGGTGTTCACCAGGTGACGAAGATCCGCACTTTTCTGCAGCTTCCGAAGCACTGATTTGAAGAATTCTCAAGTTCTTAGCTAAAACAACCTGAGTTGAGGAAATACATAGCGAAGCAGTCGTTAAATTCTGAGAATTGTCGCTTAATTGAGCGATAATATTCTCGTGATAACGTTCGGAGGCAAAAAAAAAACTGCGTTCGCGCCTTTTTCCATGTTTTGCTGTTGCTTCAGTGAAACATTTCTTTTCGGTTTAACAGAATCGGCTTCATAATAAAAACGCAGCTGAATTAATTGAATTTGAGAAATTGAGAAATTCAGCTCAAAAGTGTATTTGGAAAATTTCCCCTTGCAAATGAATGAATGAATGATTTTATTGTCCACCAACAGTAGCATTATACAGATTTGTTTATAACAGTTTTGAGGAACTTTTAACGGTTTTTCGAACATCCTCTCAAATGAGAAACACGAAACACAAGTGAAACATCTTCGTCAAGTTAAAAGCATGCGATTGGCTGTCATTGTGTGTCATTCTGAAGGTAAACATTGCGGCGATCGGACGCTCTTTAGCATATTTCGGCAGTATTTGGGGCATTTCTGGCCACAAATTCAGTGTATTTTCACAGAAGGAGACTCTCTAATTGATTGTGGCTGTGCTGAACGATCGCACAATGAGCAATTTACTGCCGAGAACGAGCTTCTTGGCTTCAGAGGAAACTGCGGCGCTTTTCACCAACGAAGAGACGGCAAATGCCCGGTCAAAAGTGAGTAAAAGACTCCTCAAATTCTCCTCCCAGGGACTTGAATTCACGGAATCTTTGCAGGTGGTGGAGTGGCTGAATGAGGCGTCGCTGGCGGACAAGGCGGACAAAGTGGAGCTGCTGAGCAAAGTGCAGGAATTGACAGTGAACGCCGAGGCTGAATTCCTGGAGGAGTTCATCGACAATGTGCTGACATTCGCCCAGGATCCGCTGGCGGACGTGAAGAGGGCCGTGCTGGGCTTCATCGAGGCGGCGGCGAAGAAGCATCCGCAGTTCCTGCCCAAGATCGCGCCGATTCTCGCGCTGCTGCTGCGCGATCACTCGCCTCAGGTGCAGAAGCGCGTGACGCAGGTGTTCGCGGCGGTGTACAGGAGCGCCCTGCAGTGGATCTGCGCGGACGCCGAGACCACGGACAGCATGGAGCAGGCGTGGAATGTGCTGGGCAACGTGAAGGCGCAGATTGTGGACATGATTGACAGCGAGAACGACGGAATTCGCACGAACGCCATCAAGTTCCTGGAAGGCGTCGTGATTCTGCAAACGTATCCGGACGAGGACAGCGTGAAGCGTGACAACGACTTCTCGCTGGAAGACGTGCCGATGACGCTGAAGATCGCCCGGCGGCGGAAGCTGGAAGACGAGGCGATGTGAGTGAATCAATCTTAGCTGCTTTTTCTGTTACTCAAAGACGTTTTTTTTCGTGTCTCTTTTGCAGAAACATCTTCGAACTGCTGCTGAAGTTCCAGGCGGCTTCACACATTTCCTCGGTGAATCTGATCGGCTGCACAGGATCTCTGTGCACCATCGCTAAGCTGCGTCCGTCGCTGATGAATCCCGTGGTGGAAGCGATTGGGAAGCTCAATTCCAATCTGCCGCCGACGCTGACGGACTCTCAGATCAGTTCCGTGCGGAAGCACCTGAAGATGCAGCTGATGAACATCCTGAAGCTGCCCTCGTCGTACGAGATGCAGTCGACGATCGTGCAGATCCTGGGCGATTTGGGGTGCAGCAATCAGGAGATTGCGCGCGCGCTGCCGAAGGTGGACAAGCACGAGCAGCAGCGGCGCGCCAAGCGGGCGCTGGAGTCCAGCATGGCCAGCGCGGCGAAGCGCGCGCGCCACGAGGAGCGCCAGATGGAGGTGGACGTGGAGGAGATCGCGCAGCAGAAGGCCAAGTGTGCGAAGATCAACGAGGCGAGCGTCCTGGAGGCGATCAAGTCGGCGGAAACTGTTGTGCAGCTCGTGGTGGCGACGCTGGTGGCGCTGCCGGCGGAGTGTCCGCAGCACTTCCTGGACAACTATGCGCCCATCATGAGCATGACTCATGGGCAGCAGATGCAGAAGATTGCCGCCGGCCTGGCCGAGCAGATGACGGAGAAGCGCGTGGGTCCGGGCGCGAGTGCGATCACGAAGGAGCCGCCGATGCGGCCGAAGGTGTCGCTGGAGGAGGAGCGGAGCATTGTGCAGGGATTGCGGGCGAAGGAGCCACTGGTGGTGGAGCAAGCGGCGCCGGCGGAGGCGCCAGAGGTGGCGCGCGAGGATGAGAGTCAGCAGAGGAAGGACGAGGCGACGAAGAAGCTGCGCGAGCATCTGGAGCGCACGAAGGGAGAGCAGAATCTGCTGCCGAAGATGAAGCAGCGCGTGCGCACGCTGAAGCTGCAGGAGGTGACGAAGCCGCTGTCGAAGCCGGTGAAGGAGCAATTCCTGCTGGAGGCCGTGAAGAGGATCTTGATGGCTGAACGAGCGGCGCTGACGGGCGGCGCGGCGAATCATCGGCGGAAGATTCTCACGGTCTTGGCGTCGACTTTCACGCCAAGTGTCCGGGAAGCCATTCTGCAGTTCATCTTCGAGGACATCCGCGAGCAGCTGGATCTGGCGTTCTCCTGGATCTACGAGGAGTACAGCCTGCTGCAGGGCTTCACGCGTCACTCGTACATCAAATCCGAGCACAAGCCGGACTACGCGTACAACAAACTCCTCTGCGATCTCATCCAGCACGTGGCGTATCACGCGGAGATCCGCGACAAGGGATGGAAGGTGGAGGTGATCAGGGCGCTGTATCTGGAGACGCCTCTCATCACGGACGAGTGCATTGACATCCTGATCACGCTGTGCGAGATGGAATACTACACAGAAGCCGCCATTGCGCTGGCCAAGGATCTCGCCGTGGAGCGTCCGACGAAGACGGACAAGTTCCTGAAAGTCCTGCTGCGCTTCGTGCTGCACGAGACCGCGGAGATCCGCAGCAAGGCCATCGAGGCGGTGATCACGATCTACGCCGTGCACAAGATGATGGTGACGCAGATTGAGGAGTTTGCGCAGCTGTGGCTGTCGCATCTGGAGAAGGAGACGCCGCCGGATGACATCTTCCATCTGCAGTACGGCCGGCCGGAGCCGATGCTCGTGTGGAGTGACGATCTGGCCAGGATCTGTCTGAATCTCTTCCTGGCACTCATGCCGTATCACGAGCAGCTCATCCACAATCTCTGCGCCGTGTACACGGCCACGAGCAGTGACATGAAGAGGATCATCCTGCGCTCCATCGAGGTGCCGATCCGACACATCGGGCCGGACAGCTTTGAGCTGCTGAATCTGGTGGAGAACTGCCCGAAGGGCGCGGAGACGCTGATCACGCGCATTATCTACATCCTCACGGAGAAGAGTCCGCCGACGCCTGAGCTCGTGGCGCGCGTGCGTGAGCTGTATCACACCAGAGTGTCTGACGTGCGACTGCTGATTCCCGTGATGAGTGGCCTGACCAAGAGTGAGATCCTCACGTCCCTGCCGCGCTTCATCAAGCTGAATCCCGTGGTGGTGAAGGAGGTGTTCAATCGACTCCTCGGCCTCATGGCGGACTTCGTGCACGCGCCACTTCCCGTGAGTCCCACCGAGCTGCTGGTGGCGCTGCACACCATCGATCCGGCCAAAGTGGAGCTGAAGTTCATCGTGAAAGCCACGAGTCTCTGTCTGGCGGAGAAGGAGACGTACACGCAAGAGACTCTGGCCATTGTCCTGCAGCAACTGGTGGAGATGGCGCCTCTGCCCACGCTCCTCATGCGCACAGTCATCCAATCGCTCACGCTCTATCCGCGCCTCGCCGGCTTCGTCACGAACATCCTGCAGCGCCTGATTCTCAAGCAAGTGTGGCGCCAGAAGGTGGTCTGGGACGGATTCCTCAAGTGCTGCCAGCGCCTCGTGCCGCAGAGTCTTCCCGTGCTGCTCCAGCTGCCGCCCAATCAGCTGCAGGACGCGCTGACGCAGTGTCCGGACTTCCGGGCGCCTCTGCTGGATCACGTGAAGTCCATCACGGAGATTGGCGCCGTGTCGCAGCAGATCCTGGACGTGCTCGCGGGCAATGTGGAGAAGGAGAGCGACAAGACGAAAGCCGACGAAGCTGAGCGCAGAGATGAGCCGCGGCCGATGGAAACTGACCAGCCACTTCCGCCGGGAGAGGATTAGACAATGCCCAAGAATGTCGTGTGACTTTTCTTTCCTACTGAATTATTAATTAAAATCCAGGAAAATTGTTAAACTTCTGTGTCTATCTTTGTCCAGAATTTTACTCAAAGCGCTTTCAGGAAGATTTAGGACAGCTGATCAGGATTTACAGTGACTGCGGATGAAATAAAACACTCTGAGATATTGAAAACCAATTAAAATCATGTTAAATTGCAAAAATTGGGCTTTAAAAGCGAGATTTGCAATTGCCAAAGGACATTTTATGACTGGAAATAGATTAAAATGAGCCTCAAAGCTTTTATAATGATAATCCAGGTGGTTTATTTCATTGGCAGCAACTGTAATTCGACCATAATTGACTCGGAGGAGTTGAATTGACTCGCAAAACACTGGCATTTATCGTGCTGTAATCAAGCAATATGGAGAAATTATCACGAAGATGTTCAATTTCTTTAATAATTTATTAAAAATCGTATGCTAGACATTTCGATATATTGCCGTAAAACTCAATAAATAGGTAATTTCTACAGGATTGTCGCTGAAATGCTTTAGTCTATTGATCCCACTGCAGCTGCTGCATTAGTTCGTTTATCCGATGGATGGGAAATTCGGGTGTGGCGCTCTTGAAGCTGCGCTCGCTCCTCTCCTCGGGCTCCGGCTCCTGCTCCGCCGCCGCCGCCGCCGCCTCTTCCTCCTCCGCCGACGTGCCGTTGCGCGTCCGCCGGCTGTACGTGCTGACGATGTGCTGGAACTGCGGCCCGCTGGACACGGTGGACGTGAGCGGCAGCGGGCTGCCGGGGCGGCCGAGGTACTGGTAGTTGGCCTGCTGGTAACTGTCGGTGAACTTGTGCGCCGGCGGGCGCGTGGGGCGGCGCTTGGGCGGCTGCTGGCTGGGGTGCTTGACGAAGTAGCCCGGCTTCACGCACATCATGCCGAACACGCGGATGCCCGGCACGCTGGCGTACGTGGGCTGATCGTGCGCCATGGGGCCCTCGAGGCGGAAGCCGTCCGGGCAGCGGCAGATGACGAGGTAGTGCGACTTGCCCGTTCTCACGTTCTGCAGCGCCAGCAGCGACCAGTCTTTCGGGGCGCGACACTCACGCATCTCCGCGGTTGACTCGCACGTCTTGGCCAAGGTGATGGCCTGAAAGTGAGGAGGAGACAAGCTTTGTGTGAGGAAAGTCTCTTGGGAATTCTCTCTCTCTCTGCGGCCCATTAAAAACTCATTACACGGCCAAGCAAAGGTGTCGTCAATTGGTCTTTGATCCGTGCGATTGCATGCAAATCCGATGATTTTCTCCTCTAACTTTTCTTAACTTCCCGTTTCCCGCGCGCGCGCGCGATTTGCGTATGAAATGTATGAAGTGAACTGTAAAAATTTTCTAATTTGTAGAACAAAAAGGTCTTATGATGTGAAACATTCCTATTTTGCGGTTTGGTTTTGGGCGATTTGCCATTGAGAGCAGCGTCTGGAGTGTTTTTCTGGAATACAATCTCCCAGCATTGCGGATTATGTATCAAAACGCTATCTCTCGTGCATCTATTGAATATTAACAAGTTGATTAATTTACTGGCTTTGCGGCCGTTTGCGAATGACGCCCAGACACAAGGAGGCGAAGATGTGGCCAAAAACTGTACACCACTTTTAACACTTGTTAGATTCTTGGTGCACTTTCATTGCATTCAGTTCATTTTACACCAATCAAGTTGAAAATGCATTAGAAAACTGTGCTAAAAGCATTTTTAAAGAATCTTAGAAGATTTATCAGCAGAATGTGAGGTTAGAAAATGAATTTTTCCAGTTATTTCACTGAGAAAATTGGTGATTTTGCCAAAAACCAACTGAAATTGAAGTTCTCATGAGATATTTTTGCAAAATTCCGCATAAAAATGCACTTAAAAACTGTTCTGAAAGCATTCTTAAAGAATCTTAGAAGATTTCTCAACAAAATGTGAGGTTAGAAAATTAATTTTCCAGTTATTTCACTGAGAAAATTGGTGATTTTCTTCAAAACCATCTGAATTTTAAGTTTTTATGTGATATTCTTGCCAAAAACCCGCATAAAAACGAAGAGTTTTTGAAATGTACAGAATTTGATTTTAAATATTTTAGAGGTTATGTTGAAAATAAGGGTTAATTCTTGTGTTTCTCGCTCCAAATCTGCCAAAATAGCACAGTTTTTCGGTGCAAAAGCTTAATTGAGTCATTTAAGAACGAATTATTCATTCTTTCACTCTTCTGTACATCACTTCTGACCCTAATATCTTCCCCTTGGCCGGATCAGTCAAGAGACGATGAACTGATCGTCAATTCTTGGTGTGATCTTCATCACCGGCAAAATAGGTTCATAAATATTCATCTCATTCGCTAAGTATTCTGTAATTCCGCGGATTATTCGTCTCTGAAGCTTCTTCGCGCCACGCGGACGATTTGTGTGAGATATTGGAAGAGAGTCTTGGTTGGTTTTTCTGGCGCCCAAATGAAAGTTTTCTGGGCTTCTTCACTCGCTCCTCATGATTTGTGCCAGACTTTTGGGGGCTTTCGCGTACACCAACTGGACTTTGAGCGCGCGCGATGTGGGGCTCCATTGATTGATTATTAGTAATTATTTTGGAATTGTGCAGCCCGAGAATTATGTTAATGCGCTATGAATCTCTTTATTGGCCTCTCCAATCCCCCCAGATTGTGGGCAAGATTGTGGGTCATGATGGTGAATCAGTGAGTGAAGCGAGATCTCCTCTAAAACCACAAAAGAGCTGTGTTTTGTGTGTGCGCTGGGATAAAAAGCTCACTCCATAAGCATATCATGATGCTCGAGAGGCGTTTGCAATATGTAAGGAAAAAGAGATGTTTATGCTCATATGCTAATGCACATAATTCTCTCTTCTCTCCTCTTCATCTTCATCTTCATCGGGTAAAACCTTCAATTTTACTCTTCAACTCACTTTATCGCTCTTTGGCCAGTGATTGAAAAGTATATTTTCTCACACAGAAAAACATCAACAATTCTCTGCGCGCATAACGGAAAAAGCGACGCCAAATTGCACACGCGGTTGATGTTTTTCCCTCCCGATTTTCACTCAGGAATTCGATACGGGGTCAAATATTACGTGTTTGAGAACTCCATCAATTCATGCCTTTTTCATGCCTCACAAAGAGTGTGTCACAGTTTTTTTTTCTACCAATTCGCCCAATTACGACGCCAAAAGCTATTAGGGGTAATTAAAAGTAATTTTGCGGAACTGCTTCAGACTCTCCGGTGAATTTCTAATGAATTTTTCGGATCTGTGAGAGAAGCAAGGGGAAGATATTATGGTCAGAAGTGGTGTACAATTCAATTGAAGTATTTGCAAGTGGAAGTGTTTCAATATTTTCAATTTAGTTCGTGAAAAAGTCACTTTCAAAAGGAATTAACACAATAATTGAAGAAAAAAATGATTTTTCACATATTTCTAGGTTATGTTATGAATTTAAGACAAACTTTGCCACTAAATAACCACAAAAATCAATAAATTCTGCGCCTAAGCTGGTATAATTTGCTTTTATCTGAGGAAGATCACAAGATTTCAATTTGAAACTGTGTTAATTATGCTAAGATTGATCATAACCTCAAAAATACTGTTTTTGGGTACAAAATTGTTTATTTTAAGAATTATTTGATTGATTTTTTACACTTAAATAGCAAATTTCACCTCATTATCGATTTGTCTTGCCTTTAAAAGATTCCAAACAAGTTTCTCAAGATAATTTTGAGGTTATGTGGCCAAAATGCATCCAAAAGATCGATTGGAAATTAGATTACATCAAAATATCCCAAGAAATATCCACTGGAATCTTTAAATATTACTAAAATACTGTTTTTCTCTAAGTTTTCAGGGTCAAAAACTCCTAAATTTGAGGTTATGATACTTTAGACGGTAGAAAAACTCTATACAGCTCCGGAAAAATGTGAAAAAAGAAAGAAAACTCATGTTTTAAGCAGTGTTTGGTGTTCTGGAAGTGCTGAACATGATTTAAGGCATATTATCTCCCCCTTGGAGAGAAGCGCGAAAGACACGCGATATTGAAGGCATTGAAGAGTTGTGAAAAATGGCAAAGAATCACTTTCAATCCGACAGAGAGCATTTCTCAGCGTGCAATTAAATTTTTGCTATTAATTTCTCTCAATTCTTCAACATCTCAATCAACTTCTTCTTCTTCACATTTGTGTGTGGATCACAAGATGGAAAAGCGCATAACTTTCTTCACTTCTCTGTGAAAGAGTCGCACTTTGTTGATAATCCACATAGATTTTTCTTTCAATTTCCGCATCATGAAAATTCACATCAATTCCCATCAACTTGCGCCCGATGTCGATTTTCAAGGGGGAGGGAAAGTATAGGAAGATCTCTAAATGCAATTGTGACGCTCAAGACAATGGCGTACAATTTGTGAAATTTACATTTTCTAATCATTCTGTGAAATTTCTAGAAAGGAAGCGAAAGAGAGAAAATCTTCCGATGGCAAAATGTGTGAAAAGTCGTGCATTAAAATGTGTTATATTGGCTTGAGATTTTATGGTTTGCCTTTTTGTCACCTCATCGGCATTAACATTGAATTTATTACCTTTTTACTTCTGTCACCAATCAATTTGGTCGTGTGCAAGTCGTCTTCGTTGAGGCTGGCCGAGCATGGATCCCGATATCTGTCGGAAATGAGAGAAAATGTGGGATAAATTGCACATTTGCATCTGCAATTCTCAACACAGCAAAACATTTGCTATTTGAAAAGCCCATAAAAGCCCATCGAAACCATGTCTTAAGTCGACAATAAATGTTTTGGTAATGTTGTTAAAGCAATAGAATGGGAATGAAATGAAGATTTTAAGTGTGATTTTCCTCACAATTCATGCAGAACATCTTCATACAAGAGCTTGAATAGATTTAGATCCTAGAAAAACTGCTCAAAATTACCAAGTCGAGAATTCTGTGCGAAATTTAGAGAAAAAGAGTGGAAAATGAAGGAATAAAACATATTTTAGGTGTCAAATTTCTCGTCGAAAGAGGAATTTGAGGGTAAGTTTAAGAAGAATATTAATAAATCGAAAGAAACTTTACGGTTTTTCTCTACTTTCAAGTTCAGATTTTCATCAGGATTTATTAAAGATTCTCTTATGCACAAAAATCAGGAGGTTTTTCTACTTTCACACTCGATTTTATTGTAAAACCTTGTGTAAAACCGTAAATATCCGATTAAAGATCAAGTAATAAAGAAATGCTGCCTATTCATTAAGGTCTTTACAAGCTTTTCAGCTGATAAATTCGCTTTTTACTCTTTAAAATCGTTCACACTTATTTTATAAATAAATTTTGAAGAGATAACAAGATAAAATATCGTTTTTAACCAGATATTCGCAAAGAAAGCAACGTTTCTTGGAATCTGAATTTGCATTAGCAACTTCTTGTCTTCATATGACCAAACTTTTGGCAGTTTTTTCACCAGAAAAAACTACACTTTTACTCATTGCCATCGTAATTAAAAATAAGTAATCCAGTGAATGTTTTTACAGGGACTGCAAAAGATGCAAGATTGAATGTTAAGACAGCATAACTTTCAATTTTTATGGCGATCATTTACACCACAATCGCTGTTAGCTTGTCTTCTAACATCGATCGCATTCATTCAACAATATTTTGCTGAAATAAAATCACTTTCATTTCAACTCGAGAGGTTAAAATCTCTGCGCATCGCAGTTCCGCTTGAGCGTCTTAAGATGTTTATCCCTAAATTTATGGGAGTAATTGCAAAGTAATTGCAATGTGCAAAATGTGCATGTTGCTTAATTGCGAAGATCATATAATGGCTATGAAAATTTTACATGTACACACTTTTGCCCCAGTGAAAAGTCTCCATAAAAAAAAAACTGACGCAGCTTTTTCTATATCTGCATAAATCTCAACACAACGCAATTAGCATCTTGATGCATTGGAAAAATTTCTCCGATTGCGCCGTGCGTCAATCGGCCAATCCTGACCGATTCGCCTTACCTGGATGGACACGCGCAGAGGGGTTGAGTGTAATTAAGTCGCACGTACACCGCATTGCAGACCTGTGGGTGAAATAGTTGAGGTGAGCCAATAAATCACAGGTGTAATTGGATTAATCACTTCGGCACACATGGCCGCGGTGCGATATTTTACCTGCTGAATGGCGCACTCGGGCAGAAGATAAATATGCTGATTATGTGGATAATAGTGGTACTTGGTCGGTTTGGCAGTTCCTGTGGCCGGCGGTTTTTGCTGCAATGGACAAAGAGAGGAATTCTTCATCTAATCACTGCCAAAGGGGGAGATAAAGTGGCTTAAAACCATTGTTTGATTGCCATCTTAAAGTAGTTTCTGTCAGAAACGACTTTAAACAACTCTGTTGAGTATTTGTCGTACATAACCTCAAAAATTACACTAAGATAATACTTAAAAATCGATTTAAACTGCGACAAACTTAATGTTTTCTTTTTTAAATCACTTTAAAGCGTCAAAAGGATACTTTAATGTGAAAAATACCTAAGAAAATACATAAAATTAAGAGTTTTGACATTCCCAAATGCTCTTTTTGAGGTTATGATTAACTTTTCCATAATTTTTAGTGTTTCTTAGGTTTAAAGTGTTCACAATCACTGAAAGATACTTCAAAATGGATATTTTCAAGTGAAAAATTCATAATAAATCACATTAAATTGACATTTTAAATATTCCTTAATGGTTTTTTTGAGGTTATGATAAATTTTTCCATCATTTTAAATGTTTCTTAGGTTTAAAGTGTTCAGAATCGCTGTTTTTGATAAGTAATAATGCTTATCTCTGCTCACAATTCAGAAAAGTCGTCTATTTTATTCAAATAATCTGCTTTAAATTAGTGACATAACCTCAAAAAAACTAGAATTTTCATTTAAAGTAAAGTTATCGTTAGAAATTCGGAATATTTCGCTGATTTGTTTGCAAATAAGAAGCAATTTTAGACACTTTTACTGAATTCTGCGCCAGTTTCGACTATATTTTCCCCTTGATCGTTAGAATTTGATGAATTTCTTCATGGTTTTCGGGTGGGCAAAAAGAGACGTGTGATTATTGTTGCTCTCATGGCTCATTTTTGCTAACAATCCCCAGATTGACATGCCAAATTTCGTTAGCGACGCTCAGGCAAATGATAAAAAAGACGCTCGGTAACTTTCTATCTCGACAATGGTAGCATCGCGATCGGCGAAGAAAGATAGAGAGAGAGAGAGAAGGAGGTGAAGAAAGATCACGTATAGAATGTCGGAAGCACTTTGGCCGATGAGGATGATGATGGAGGCAAAAGAATCCACAACTTCACAGCGTACAAACATAATAAACACTCTCTAATGTTTTTCTGTGTCGAATGATTAATGGAGAGATTGTAAATTGTCTGCTTCCATCGTACAATTTTCATGACACAATATGACGTTCTCATTCTTAATATTTCCTTCCAATACAGCCCATCGGCAAATACACAGTCAAATACTTGGGCATCATTAGAGATTCAACTCCGAAGTTGGATTTCAATTAATTTCCCGCGCCTGAGAACTCACTGACATTCGTAATATGCCCACTTAATGGTTTCATTAGTGCGATCTCAGAACAATTTATTACGTCCCAGGTGAGTGAAAGAGATGATCCATAATTGCTCCGGCACGTTCGCAGTCCAATTTTCTTCTTTTTCTATTGAGAATCAAAGTAAATAGGAAGTCCAGCGAAAGGAGGTGAAGTTGGGAAAAATGCCGCTCATTTGTGATCTCTTTCAGGAGTTTCTGCTCAATATAATGCATGTGATAAAGTGCTGATAAATTACATGTCGTCCAACACTAATTGTCTCAGCGTGTAATTAATTACTTAATCGCGATAATTAAGTGATTTTCACTAAATAAACCGACTCACGGCGTGTTGAGTGTGTGTTGCGAATGGAGTTTTGTTGTTCTGGACAAATTGATTTCTAATGCATTCTGACATACTCTTGTTTCCCCTTTAAACCAAGCTTTAAACTCACGCCACGCTCAGCAGAGCAAATACGAGTTTTCCTTGTAGGATTATTCAGTAGAATTTGTCTACTTTTCAGGCTCTTCATGTGCCAAAGATTGCAGGAAAGTTAGGATCAATTAATCGACACTTACCGACACTTATCGATACGATTTACGTTCAATTTTGTCTTCTTAACAGAATTTTATGGGAAAAATAGCTCTAAAATGGACTAATTAGTCTTCAAACTGTCGATTTCAGCCATTTTTCCCCTAAAATTGTGTTAAAAATAGAAAATTGTCCGCAATCGTATCGATAATTGTCGGTAAATGTCGATAAGTTCAAAGGAAAATTATTCCTAAACAATTTTATCATCTTCAAATACATATAATTGATTTATTCTGAACACAAAGCAATAAATAAACTATAAATGAGTAGCTTTGAAGGTAAATAAATTCAAATATAGGTGAAGAATTACTGTTGAAATCATCATAAACATTTCTATCTCGATGGAAATGTGTTTTGCTGAAGTATTTATTGAAACAGTGGCTTTGCTTTAATAGAAAAGAATGACTTGGAAAGCAACATTCCTTGGCAATTGAGTCAAAGGGAGGCAAAAGTAGCAGAGTTCTTCGCCCAAGGGTGACAAACATGTTTCTGGCTTTATGTGCAAATATATCGTTATTCCATCATCACATAATGATGCACATTATTGACGAACATGCTGACTTTGGCTACAAAGTAAGTTGAACACTTTTAATTGAGTGGTTTTTTGATCAAATTAAACTTGTCTATCATGAAGATTTGACATTGAAATTCGCACAAGAAAAGACACGAGAGAAATGTCTTTAAAATTCCACTTGAGAGATGTTTTCTTGTGAAACATGGAGATAAAGAAGTTGTTGTATTTGTTAAAGAAACCACACTAAATCTTATTCACAGTTTGATAATGGACACTTTGGAATGGAGATAAAATTAAGTGGAAAAAGATTTTATGGGTAAAGTTCAAGGCATGAAAAGCCTAACGGGTTTTCGGGTGAATTGATCCAAAGACGGTGATTTTCTGACACTCGACAATCTTAGGTTTTTTTTTTTGGTAAATCTTGGATGTCAAAGAAATCTCGGTGCGCATAATAAAAAATGTCCCATTGTAGGAGTGAATCTTGAGCGCTCAAGGGTCAGAAATGATCGGCATTAGTGCAATTTGTAGTGGAAAAATCATTAACTCGCTGAAGATGGAGAAAAACGGTTTTAACAGTATAAGAGAGAGAGAGAAATTCTCTAAATTACAATTCATCCAACAATTGATGGAATGTCAAAAAAGTGCCGTACTTTTGAGCAAAATTGTGAGAACCATTCATGAAGCTTTGTGTCGCGCCATTGACTGGGGCGCTTTTCTACACGCTCGTGTAATTAAAGACAAGAGTCAAGTGCACACGTCGGCGATGGAATGCACAGAAGACGCTGGAACAATAAGGCTCTGGTCGGATGCGTAAGCGCGGGGGAAAAAGTGAAGTTAATTGAGAGACTAATCTATCCTATCACGGAATCGTGTTTCGCCCATTAAGAGAATTTCAAACATTACCAAAGATAGAATAAATTAATTCTATTTTCAGCAAAAACCATTCAAAAGAGGGGGGCTTTTCGAGGGAGGAAAAGAGAGGTAAAAGCACGCCTTTGTGCCTCTGCAGAATATTCATCTCTCCTTTCTCTCCACACAGCAACAAAACCTTCGTCTTTCTGCCTACTTTCAGTGATTAAAATCACACGTGGTGCATTTCACTATTGCTTTTTGCTTTAATTGAGAAATTGTTTCGACCATTTGGGGCGGATTTGGCTGCAGATTTGCATTTGTGCGCGCGCGCGACTCTTTCGCCGTCTCAAGGAAGGCGAAATTAATTATGCAAACTCCGCCGCATGTTATGTCTTACTTTGATACTCATTGACCGCAAAAAGACATTTATTAGCAAACAATGAAATTGCAACGATTATGTTATTGTTATCATCCACGCTTTTACCTTCCAGACTCTCTTGTTTTACTCTCATTTCTCCTGTCAGCTCCAATGCTAACAATCTGAGAGATTGGCCATCGTTAGCAAACAAACAAACACACGCGAAAAGAGCTCTTTTTTGCCAATTTTCCCCCCTGTGAATTTTATTTGGTTGATCAGCAAGAAAAACACCTGTTGATTGCACTCTGTTGCGATGCGAAAGCAACAACTGACACCATGTGGTACAATTTCTCAAAAATTATCTTCGTTCTGGTCTACAAATATGAAAAATCTCTTTGCCATCTCTTGCAAATTCAATTTTACCGCTCCACAGTTCTATTTTCAGTCGATTCACTCCACCCAAGGGGGAGATATTCACTTGGAAGCGGTGTAGGAAGAGTTCAATTGAAGAATTCATTCAAATACTTTACAAAAACCAATGAATTCTACTAATTTGATTAGAATTCACAAGTTCCAACTAGATTTTCTAGGTTATGTTGCTTCTTTAAGACAAACATAACCTCAATTTTTTACTTAAGATCCTTATTTTGAGGAAAATTGTGTGCAATTTCGTTTTTAAATACGATTTTAGGGGGAAAATCGATAATAATGACAGTCTAAGGACTTAATTAGTCCATTTCAGCTCTGTTTTTCCCATATAATTGTGGTAAAAGAAAGGAAATTGCATTTAATTTGTATCAATAACATTAAAATGAATTCTTTTATTCTGTTTTTAAATTCTTTTGAACACCAAAAGTTTATTCAATCACGCAATTGATAGATTACAGCAAAGGATTAAAGCAATAGAGCTTAAAATTACAATCGATTGAGTGACATTTCTTGACGCTTCTCGCTCTTTTGGGACCTAGCTTGCATCATCCGACATTTATCGAAACGAATTGCGTACAAATTCCCTTTTTAACACAATTTGAAGGAAAAATAGGTTAAATCGACAGATTAAAAAGACTAATGAGTCAATTTCAGTCATATTTTCCCCTAAAATTGTGGTAAATGAAAGGATATTGCACGATATTTGTATCGATAAGTGTCGATAACTTCAAAATTGATTCCTTTATTCTGCCTTTAAACTCTTCTGAACACCGAAAGTTCATACAATCTTACAATTGACTGATTTTAGCAAAGAATTGAAGCAATAGAGCTTAAAGTTATAATCGATTGAGTGACATTTCTTGACGCTTCTCGCTCTTTTGGGGCCTAGTTCGCAACCAAATGTCTCAAATTGACTAATTAATCTCTACATTATCGATTTTAACT